AATATAGAGCAAAAATTGTGTAGTGCAACTTGTAAAACCTCTTAGGGTCATTAAATAGCTATGGCAATATACATACTATCACAGTTAATTGATGACTTATAAATAACAAAGTACACTTTAGACAAACAAAATAGTACCTTTTCAACATGACAATCATAGACTTTTTCTTGAAATGGGTAATGACCATTTTAACTAAAATCACAAGCGAAGGCACTTTGTAATAACATCCGCTTCCTCGACCGTGTATACCAAAATATATGATCTTGTTGCATGTAGGTCATATGTGGTCATGAGATATTTATAAATATTTACTTCATTAATCGTGGAACTTGTAAACGAATCTGATATTATATTTTCAAAGATCGTTAAAGTTGCATAGTCGCAATAATAATTCAGAAAAGGCGATCACCAAAAACAGTGGATTGCCTGTTTACTCTATTCCTACATTGCATAAATGGTGGTATATCAAATCTACTAGAGCATTAACAAAAAAGAGTTCAAACGTGCAATATGATCCTGAAAATTACGATGGTTCTTATACATACGAGTATGGTTGGGATCATACATAAATTTCAAAAGTAGTTAATCTGTTGTTATATCCCATTTTTTGTAAACTACGACCCAAAAATGTTTACACTTGTCCGGTTATTGGACATCGCCATATATATTGATGACATGCACTATTGTTGTTAAAATAGGATAAGCCTAGTGTTACGACCACAATAGGTACTTAGCGATGTATAATAATTAGTTGTAGTAGGTTAAGTGAACGGATTTTACCACTATATTATATAAAATATATAAGCTGATGAAACCTAAAAGAGAAAGAACACAGGTCCAAATTGAATAACGGTAACGTTGCCGTTGGTCAGGGTAGCATATTAGGGTAACTTGATAGTATTGGGCTCTATTACCTAGTCTTACATTCACTATGTTATCAATAAACAATCCAATAAAACCGATAATACAATGAATTTATTCGTTACGATATATCTATCAAAACCAAACAGTATGTACAGTATGTAAACTCACTACAGAACACTTAAAGATATATGTAAAATGTATAAATGTAAATAAATATAGATTTAAAACACTCAAAGATAAGGAAGCGAAGTTTTTATTGTTCACCTTGAACAAATATTTGAATGGAAAGTATAGTTTTATATGAAAAAATTACTAACCGTACACAGTTGTTTTTTGTGCTAAATTAGTATTTAAATATAGAGTAATTTAAAAGCCCATCAAAACTGCGGGGAAAACAATAAAATTTTACATTTTTTTTTGGTCCGAGTAAAGTTTACACTGCTAAAATATCCTCACTTTTCTTTATAACATTTTGTTCAATCCTAGAGCCCCCTTCTATCTCAAGGACGGTTCGAGTTCCTTAATGACACACATTAACAATGTCTGAGGTCATCCGAGGATTTGAGGCTAGAGATGCCTCTGCATTCCACAAAATTTTATGACCACTCTTTTACTGTTGAAGCTATACGCTTGTGAAATGCATTGCCGATAAACATCAGGCGAGTGCAAATGATAAACAGCTTTAAGAGAATGGTTCAAGAATTTTATGAATCTTATTAAATCAATTACGCGTTAAGGCATGATAGGAATGTTGCTTTTCTTTTTTTATGTGATGTACTTAATTAATTATGTATATATAAATATATGTGTATATGTATGTATATTGTATATGTGTTTTAGGTGTAAACATTTATTTAATTTTGCCTCCTGTATGTTCATTAGTAATTAACCTGTCAAAACTCATTTTAATCCAACCTAAGGTTGCCTGGAAGAGATCGCTCTTAGCAATAAGGCCGCCCTTTGTCTATTACATGTCTGATATTTTTATTTACCATAGTACTTATAAAACGGTGTACAAATGAAGAGTTTTCTGTCTATCTATGTAACAGCAATGATTTTTTAAATATTGAAAAATATAATAATATAATAACTTAACCTCACACATAACACACGGCCGTCTAATCCCAAACTAGACAAAGCTGCTTTGCTTTGGTGACCAGACAGCTGATAAACTTACTTATATATTTCTTAATACATAGATATCATAGATAAATTACACCCAGACACAGAACAAATAAAAGGGCTCAAAAGGTTTGCTTTTAATATTATTAGAATAAATATCAGTTAACTGTATTTTTTTTATTATGGCATACGAAGATCTCGAGCCTCGTGTTTTTATATCACTTCAGGTTTCAATATATCTTTGACTGATTGTAATCCAAATTCTTCCAAACCTTTCAATGTGCTGGTTAGCATACTAATTCAATCATATGCTCACATGTACACAATGCATATTAATGATTAGTTGTTACTGTTACCAGTGAACGTATTACAAAATGTCAAAATAATAGATATTGTAAATTTGTACATATGACCTAGTCTTTCACTTAAATGGAAAAATCCGGTGAGCAAATAATTTGATATTTATTCATATATTAAAAATTATAATAAAGTCGCCCACAGATATATTTCCTATATTATATCTGCGGAAGTCACAATCGACCTTGCCAAAAACTTGCAAAGACGACGCCAAACCTAATTGCGAATAATTTTATTGAACCAATCGACACGTTATTATCAAGGTCTTTGACTTATTTCAGTTTATTTTAGAAACATATAACATAGCTAGTTTGAGTGTTGTTGACAAAATAGTTAAGAACATTGCACTCACAGGTCTAATTTTAATTCTCTTGCCCCGCTCCTCTACGGATAAACACTGTCTGAAAGTAATTTATCTATTTTGTAGACGAATAATAATCTGTCGTAACTTTGTAAATAATGTTTAACTTTGCTTCACGAATGAATTATAGGAGCGGTGATATAGGCGATATCTTTATAGTATTTTTCATAAATCCATGGAGGGTGTTGAAGCTTACAAGAAGCTACTTAAAACTTGTTCTTGATCATTATCTTAAATTCCCTTTCAGATATTGAGTGTCGTAATATACAGAAGCCGAGAAATAAAAGGAAATAAAAAGTTGTGTTTGATGGCATATATGCTTTGATATCAGCTTATGTCGTGATTCTTTTACTTGAAGGGTCTTGATAAATTACTCATGACAAAAGTCGATAGAATTTTATCCAACTATCACAGTCAGCACATCTACTTGTTTTAGTATCAGATTGAGAATTAATACACAATATTGTACACGAAAACATACATAAGTATGTGACGTGATAGTATTTTAGGGTTGCGGGTTAGATTCCCGGGTTCAATATTTCTATGCACGAATATCTCTATTTCGCACTGATAAGGGTGTTTCTAATTATAACGTCATATTAATGAAAAAAATAGTATATATTTACCGTATTTAGAGTATGTAGATGTATAACAATTCAGAATATTTATATGTATGCATGTAAACATTGTCGCGAGCATCAATATGCCTACTTAAATACATCAACCTCACAAAGACGTCTGATGTCTAAATTCACACAATAAGTTCCTACGATAATATGAATGTAGCTTAAATCGTCGTATAAATGTGTAGGATTTCGGTTGCCACGCCGTGAAGAGTACTACGCGTTATCGTTAAACTGTGAAATGACGTAGAGATGACTCAGTTCTTATCAACGGCTGCATGAACAATAAATATTTTCACATACGTATTTTTTCTTATTTCCTACGTCAATGTTATAGCACTAGGATCTAGACATGCTACTTAAAATGTCGTGATTTATGGCGGTCACGTAATGAAATTGTTGAGAAAAACGTAGGTGCATCAGAGACTACTCTCTACTACTAAATAAATACTTACTGTCGTTAAAATGACTACGTACACATTATATACCTAAAGTTAAATTTTAATATGTAATTGAAAGTGACCTCATTACCCAGCCGTAAGATCTTAACTTCAAATTGTCAAGCGAAGCTGTCTGACGCTGACAGTAAGTAGGTATTGAGTACGGGTACATGCTGTTAAACATTCAACAGCAAGGCCAATATACGTATATTAGATACATTTTTGTGTGGGCTATTAAATTAGTAATATGTTATACAAACAAACGACGATTGAATTATAAATTCTGACTTCTATTTATTCGTTCGTTATTGTTTTGGTGGGGGACTGGACTCTCTGCCATGATTTTTCTAGAAAAATAAACTAAATACAGCCTAGAAGTCTGTTATATTCTTCAGTATTATTATTTATATCCTGATATGTGCATAATTAAATCTATGGATCAGTCCAAACACGCTACTACTTAAATATATTATGGATATATACGTAGAATTATAATGCAATAACTGCGGTAACTGGTAACCCATAACAATGACGTAGAAACAAACAATTTTTTTTTAATTCTTAATTACCACATACTTTTGCCACCCACGTGGCTTGCCTTATAATTTGCGCGCTTACGACAATGTACTACAAATTCCAATACCTACGTTATCAATGCTATTAAATTTCTTTACGTAGATGAATGGAAGCCCAACGACATTGAAATATAACACAGGGTCACACGCTGCTCGCCCGTAGTCGGTGTAAACCATGAACGGCGTTGACATTGAAAATAAAACATGTTTAATTGTAAAAGAAATAAAATTAATGCATTATAAACGACCGATACCCATTATATCCGGAACATACTACATTAAAAGTGCCGACATGTTGCCGGATTGTCGTAAGTATTCTAGTTTAGAAAAATACATATCGAAGAAAGTTTTTTTTAAAATAAAAGCTAACGTGGGTATTACACTTATCGACACTCGACAATGACACTTGTTATTGCACATTATACAGATTAATTGGCTTTTATAAATGTTTACACTTAGTACCTACGTATATTACAATAAGTTTCCAACAGTAATTAAAGGTTAATAATCTGTTTAATTGAAAATGATTTCCAAGAAAAGTTGGCTACAGACGAGTATGTATAATTATAATCTCTTAATTTGAACATCGAACCCAATTTTTTTCCAAATAAGAAACGCACCTGGTTAATGGTCTTATTTTTTTATCTTTTGCCAACAGGAATAATGACACTCAGCCGCGGCCCGTGTGACCTCGACAACATGAGTCTGTTCCAAGACCTCAAACTCAAGAGGCGGAAACTTGACTCCCGATGTAGCAGTGATGGTAAGTAATAGTTTGAATATCTTATCTTCTTATCAAAATTATCATAGGGAAAGATTTCAATCGGTAAAAAGACAATCGATTGAGTAAATAGCTATTTGTGTGTATAAACGATTTCATCTTAGCTTCTGAATAATATTTGAGTAGAAATATGGAAGATAGTATTTGAAATATCTAAAGTATTATATTATATTTCCGCAGAATTAACTGCTACAATAAAAAATAAATAATAATCAATGATACCTTCTTCCCTATTCTACTCTATAATTCTTTTTACCTTTTTCAGCAACTAGTTTACATTTTTATTTATATATGTGTGTTAGTGTGATTATAGTTAATCTGTTAATAGTTATTTTTACATATTATCGATATTGTGTTAGTAAAAGAATACCATAACCATTCAGATCCCGTGTATTTCGACGTTAAAGAACTCAGAATAGTTGTAAAATTAAAAAAAAAGAGAGGTAAGGTCGCGATGCTAGCCACACTTGTTATTCGTGTCGAGATGTCATCCATACTTGTGACGCTGATCACGGATTGCTATCACTTTCAACCGTCACTACGAACTCCTTTTGTTACTAGTAATTTCATTTTCATTTAAACTTGTCCCTCACTTCAACTATGACAAATACGTACTACTAATAAGCTTATTGTTTTCCAATTTAAAACAACTAAGTTATACCTCAATAAAAAAAAAACATTTTACGCTGAAGATCTTATGAAAGAGGCTGTAATTTTAACTTATCATTAGCCTTAAAGATCATGTAATAATCATACCGAATTAAACCAATCGGAAAAATAAAAAAAATATTGGCACACAAATAATTGCTACAGACCTGCCGTCCTGTATGACTCTGAAAGTTGGCCCATTAAGAGAACGGATGAGACTGAACTGAAATGGATGTGAGGTGTGACTTGGATGGACAAGGTTAGGAATGAGTATATACGAGGGAGTCTGAAAGTAGCGTCACTGGATGAAAAGTTAAGAAGTAATAGGTTATCTTGGTATGGACAAGTCAAGCGAAGGGATGAGGAAAATGTGGCGAAGAAAGTTTAGGTATGGGAGTTGAAGGGTACAAGAGAAGAGAAAGACTAAAGAAAAGGTGGATGGACTGTGTGAGTGAGGATATGGCTAGGAAGGGAGTAAACAGTGAGATGACGCATGAAAGAGTAGAATGGAAGAATCATACTTACTGCGCCGACCCCAAATAAAATTGGAATAAGGGTAGGCAGATGATGATATACTTGCTACAGAAATTATGAACCAACAATTACTTTGTCTGTATAAAAATTAGGGACTAAATCTAAACTTGAACTTAATTTGGCAATGACATCAATGACTTATTATTACAGGTAATATTACTCACTCAACTCAAAGTTTTATTAATGCAAACAAAAGATAATAAAACCAAAACAAATCGTCTATGATAAAAATCGAATAAAAATATAGTTAAGTTACACAACAAGATATTCGTAAACAAATTTGATTTGATAATGATCGTCACTGAAAGTTAAATAACAGCTGTACATAATAACGCGTGAGAGAGTCGCAACCGGTTCCGAGAAATGCTACTTTCACTTACAAAAAACTTCCAAAACAGATCCGGTTCACCGTGTTGCAGTCGCCGTGCGGATTATAAATACTAGCAGTAATCATTGTAATCTCTTACTTTGTGTTAGCGTAAGAGCGCCAGAACAATTCATTTTTTTTTACCGTGTTCAAATGAAAGTAGTTGACGTCGAGAAAGTTAGCAGATCGCATTATTTAGATATACAAAATATTAAATTAAAAATACACAGGACACAAAAAGCCCGTAGAGTATAGAATGAAAGCTGATGATCTTCGATCAGTTGAACATATTCTATTGATTGTAACTAAGAATACTCCCGATTAAGTCACCTCTTAAACTTTAAATAAAGCAAAATCGGCTTAACTGATTAGGAGCCAAGTCGATTATGTGTTTGTCATGACAACTACATGTTAAACTTACAGCATCCCTCTTTTAAAAAGTACATTTAAATTAGAAATAAGATTTAAATTTCGTAAATTCAATATAAATGTAACGCCATATACATATTATGTTTTTCAATGTATCTTATCAAATAAAATCTCTAAAAATCTATAAAAAAACTATAAAATCTATATAAAATCTATAAAAAAAATATCTATAAATAGTCATCTCAACAATAAGCTATTTTTTTACCATTAAAAATTTATTTATTAATAGTTATATAACAGTGACGTTGCTAGTGAAGTCACAGTGATGAAGAAAGTTTACGTAAACTCACGAAAGGTGAAAGCAATAAAATAGCGGTGCTGTAATTATTGCTATTGTGGCCTCATGAATAATGCACGAGAGAAAGATGTATTCACTGTCATATAACGTAACAATTTGCCTGGGGCGGTAACGCAGAAGATGATTTAAATAGTGTTGTTGCTGTCAGTAAATTATTCGCCATTCCTTATTAGACAAGCCACTTTTTAATATTGCCTTTTGAATATTCGTGACAATAATATATAATAGAGAATAGTATTATTAATGATATCGCATATTTTACTGTTTAAATTATGATATATTTTAGATAATTTTTTGAGTGTATCATTCATCTATATTAAAAATTTAGTTAACACAGTAACTTCAATGTGTATTTGCGAATCGTTGCTGTAAAGACTGTGAGAATAAAAAGACAACAAATACTTATTACTGCCCTTTTCAAACTGTTAACTACAGTGTTTCATTTCGAATAAGTAGGTAAAACAATGTTATGTAATTACTAATTATATATAAGTAAAACGACAAGTGATATACAAATATATTACTAAGAATAAAAAACTATCTTTCAAGGATACTACAGAAGTTTTAATCACTTTATTAATCGTGTTGTGCTCTCAATAAAATAAACTTAACCAAATTCACTGAAAAGTATTTTTTTATTGTGATGCTGAATTGTAAACATCCTAACATGATATCTTTTTAGAACTGGACTGTCCTGTGGACTTTTATACTAAACTACTTTCGTCAAACAGCTGGTGAAATAAATTCTTTTACTCGATATTGTAAAGCGCAAAATACCTACACATGTTTTGTTTTTGTAATCTATAAAATAATAAAGTAACAATAAAATAACAGTCATAATTTGCGCTCATCTCTGGTGGTGGTCGTGTTTTTTGCTTGCACATACTTTAAAAATGAATAAGATTTTTTTTGAAGGATTTAAAATATCCAAAACAATATAACTCGATCAGTTTGATTAGCACTGACATCTGCCATCGGCATCAAGCTTCGTCTAGCGACGACGAGTACAAGCATTATCGTAAGCTTTAGGTATGTAAAACGCATTTAAAAATTTGAACGTATCTGTCCAGAAATAGATTACTACTATTCTCGTACTGTTATCACTAAGATATTCGCATATGAATCTGTATAACGCAGGAAGCGTTCACGTGGGGTGTGACGAGTACTTGTGACGTAGGAACATTCAACACGTCATAGTGACGCGCCCCTACGTAATTTGACATGACACTTCGCGTTCACTAACCTGATAATAGCGACATGTTACATTTTGTTTAATTGACTACTTATTCTGATGCTGAATAACTTTTTTGAGAAGTGATATAATTTTTTATGAAGAATATTTCTAGTGTGTATGATTATGTTATAGCACAAACACCATACATTTATAAGTACCTAAAAACGACATTGAAATGTACAAAAAATACAGTCCAATTAAGAACCTGACCTTTTATGTTTTTCAAGTCGGTTTAAAATGACTGCGAGATTTGATTTGCTCTTGTCGCTCCCATCGACACCCTTGATTTTTTAATTTTTTACATTTCTTTCTTTACTTATAGTTGCAGCTCTCTCTTCAATATTTTTATCACAAAAGGAGACTCACTAGAGAGGAGAATCGCAAGACTCACTCTGACTTTATGGATTTAGAAGTGGCAATAATACAAAATGTTAATAAAGCGATGATTCGTAGTAGTGCTTTTCTTACCTAAGCAATCGCGTTGTCTTCAGAGATAGTACTCACAGTTATCATCATACAATATGCTAAATTTAAAAAAAACAAAGCAGTGATGATGAATTCTATGTATTGCAGTAACGTAATCAAAATAACGTGCAATGTATAAATCTTTCTACGCTTTCAGCTCAATATTATATCGATTTTACGTCAAACTACTACATGAATAAATTAATTCAATGCGTATAAACTTGTATACCATAAAAATTATACAACACAAATCAAGTCGAGTCGTTGTATTGCTCATTCAACTACATTGTTACTTGTTGTAAATAAATAGCATAGAAGGCCTTGCGATAACGAATGCCGTGCGTAAACAAATTCCTATTAAAATTAACTTGAATATTGTATTTTTCCTTACATAGCAACGTAACATCCAATAGCACCGAGTGATGCGTGTGTATTTTCCAAATGTAGGCAAGTTAAAAAAACTATTATAATACTACTTTATTTATTATTTGCACAAAGGAAATAATAAATAAAATGTCATTTTAGGTATAACCAGCAACGTCCTTTTATTTAGTATTTTCATCTTGCCTACATTTGGAAAATACACACCCATCACTCAACTCTGAACTTAATAGATGTCCAATAAGTAGTACGTTTAACACATACAACCTGAAAGAGATGAACGTCGGGTAGATCTAATGGTCAAACCACATGATAACAATTTTCTTTTTTTAAATCTTGTGTTACATTTGCAATTATTGTAAATTTAATCTCTCTATCCCATACAATTGGTACAATTTTGTATGGAGTTTCCATTTTATACAAAACCTTAATAAGGCGAAAATCATGCACCATGATTTGAACAAAAATTTAAAACCTAAAATCTATGAAAAATTATCTGACCCCATTTTAAATAACAACAAAAGTGTCTATTGCCAAACATGCGATACTTTTTCCAAATAAAAAAAGCATGTAGGAAAGACCTCAGGTATACTAAAAATTAAAACACTTTAACTTATTGGCAAAAAAATGTGACTTTAAACTGATTTGCGTTTGAAAATGGTCTTGCAGTTTCGATGTGGTCACTCGTATTCGTCGGATTTTGATCTAGGATTTTTCTTGGTGTTATTCTTAAGCAAACTGTCAACTATCGTGCATCATACTAACTGTAATGTAGTTAACCTATAAATTTCGACAACCTTTACCTTTTTATTTTGCCTAAATATGATATAAGATCTCATTGGAATAAAATCTACGTTTGAGAGCAAATGAGAATTTGAGTTTAGAAACTAATATTTTTAATCCTGAACAGTACGACGAATACTAAAATATGTTATTAGTATTTTGGTGTTATTTCTCACGTAGATTGGATGTGATTTTCATAGAATACGAAATACTTTACGAATCTGCTTCTTAGTGTGCAAAATGCATGGTCCGTCAGGGATTGTTATTTAGGCTGTTCAGAAAAAGATCGCTCTAGTTTATATTTCTAGTTTTTTCTTCTTCTTCTTCTCAGTTGTTAGTTATCTCCAAGTTTCACCACAACAACCGGTCCTGCGCTTCCCGCAACCAACGGTATTTAGTTTTTTAGCAGTCTTTATTTCTTAAAGCCTCTTTAAATGTACACTTCATGTCTTATTCTAATCAAATAACAATTTCTACTCCATTCCATTTACACCTCGAATATGACATGTTAAATTATAGCTTTTTTGCATTAAACATATTTTACTAAATTTTTGAGATGTTCGTTTGAAAGTACTGATTGACAATATGTTATGGTAATTAACGGGCCGCGGCAGGCGCCCTGGCACGTGGCGACGCGGTGCCTCTGGGTACTAAGGGAGGAGCCGTGGTAGGGGTTGACCTACTTTCCCGCGTGTCAGTGACCGCGAGCGACCTTCGAGCCTGCAGCGACCGTATAAACGATCACGTTCATCCGCCCGAAATAAAAGACTTGCAGCTTGCCGTAACCTTTATATTGATGTCTGACGACAGAGGAGTTCCATGACGATCTTACATCGTATGCATAATTGTGGGCTTACCCTCTAAAACAATAATGAAATCTAACTCTCGGAAACCGCGAATCGAATAGAGGAAATCACTGTATTTGCCATAATACTTAGGCCATAAACATATAGTACCAACCATATCTAAACGGGACGTTTATCTAAGTGTATGAGTCTACCTAGAACCTCTAGAAGCGTGTATTGCATCACGCGGCTAGAAAGATCGGTCCCCACCAATGATGTGGCAAAGGACGCGAAGTGAAATAGAGATCGTCCTCGAAGCGAGAGCGGTGCACGCGTTGCACTAGTCATTGTGCGGTTGCACTTCGCACGCACGGCCGTCTAAGTGACCTAATAGCGGCTGGAGGGAGGGACCGGGAAGCGCTGTGCGGGGAGCGGGGCGCGGCTGCCGCGAGTGCGGTAGGTCGGGCTCACTGCGCGCGCCCGCTTGGCGTCGCGCCGCCGACAGTGGAAAACTTTCTTCGCGACTTTTCCTCGTGTAAACAAAACCGCGCAAAAATTTGCGTCCGCGCGTTCAATCAAGCCGAATGTGCGCCCCAGCTCAATGAAGTTAACTATTACTATATTACCGCATTGCACTCAAATTTCAGTTAAGCACATTTTTGAGAATTTTCAAATAGATCTTGGTGGACAATCATGTGATACAATAAAAGCCCAAATTCAAATTAAACGAACGTTTGACCGTGTTTGCAATGTAAGGCAGGTCATGTGAAAGGGTTAAGACTTCGCCTATGGATTTAGTAATAAAAAGTCGGTAAAGTTTAGTATTTAGTAAGTAAATATCACTTTAAATGACATTTTGTAAATCTTATCTGAATTTGGAAGAAATATACAAGTCTTTGTTGTTCATATAAAGATAAAATTACTTATATAATGGTGATGTGCGCCCTGGTAAATACGAATATATATTTTTTTAAATAATAGGTTCTAAATCTTATTTATATCAAAGTTTAAAAACGTGCATCACCCACTTAACTACAGTCATTGCCTATGACATAACTTCAAATTTCGGCAAAGTACTGTGGTAATAATTTTGTAGTAAATAAGTATAAAAATTAAATTTTTAAAACTTTCAGAGTGTTATATGATAGTGATCTGACATACTACTCATTACTTTTGTGTAACGTAGAGCCCTTTGTGATGTGTATATGTGTGTGGTTTGATGGAGCCGTGCGGGTGCGCAGGCACAACGCTTCCGGGCGCCGCATCTGCGCTAGCGGCGCTTTCACTTTCTCCTCGTACTCCGCGCTCTATCTTGTGCTCGCGCTAGCACCGCCACCACGCCTTCACGACTGACTCGCCCGGACATTTTCCACATCTATTGCGAATAGTTACATTAAAACTGCATTTTGTTAATAAAATAAATTCGTCCGGTACATGTTTAAAAGTTTTCTCCGAGTGAACAAGCTTTCTTCGTTACTATGAAATATTCCAAAACTTTATCCATACCTAAATATAATAGATTAGTATATGGCCAGTGTGGCGCGGTGGCAGCGGCACTCATATCGTGACGCAACCGGCTCGCTAATCTAGTCGGCGGCGTCGGGAAGTGCAGTGTCGCGTCCCTGCGTCGCGCCCCGCGCGCTCTAACTACGATCACGCCGCGCGGTCGTTGACATTTCACCTAGTTTCTACATTTGTCGCTTCTGAAAGTGTATGGGTGTTCTTTTTCTATCACGTCGCAACGATAGGTCGTCCGTCGCTTTTGTTCACCATTCCATCTGTTGTCGCAGGCGAGTCGGCCGCCGATACCAGCACGTCGTCACCGGACCCGGGCCCGCCGTCGCCGCGCATGGCCGATGCAGGGTGCAGCACGCCGCCGCACCCACCACCCGTGTTCGATGGCGGCGGCTCTCCGTCGCCATCGCCAGCTTGTCATCCCACCGTTATTCGCTCCGCGCCGCCCCATTCCGTTATCAAGTTTGAGGGCACAGCGTCATCCGTCAAGGCAGAAAGCTCACCCGCCTGCGGCAGACCTGATGTGACACCACAATCTCAGCTTTCATCTGTGAAACTAGAGGGTACACAAGAAGCCCACCATTATAGGCCACGGGCTCTCGCACCGCCACCACCAGGTTCCCACGCCTCATTGGCGCCGGGCCCCTGGCCACCTGCCGCCTGTATTAACGGTGTAAAACCGGAACTTATAGGCGGACAATTCCCACCGCAACAATTAGAACCAAAACCAGGAGCACGGGGATCAACACAATGGCGAAGTGCACCAGCTGTCATTATGGGAGAATCAGGTGGAGTTCGAACGATGTTTTGGACACTACCTGCACCCACGCAAGGTGGTGAACCGGCAGCTAGCGCTTCACATACACCAACACCACCCACTCCTGATCCTACGACGTGTAGTGAAGAATCAGCTGCACGATTACTGCTAAACTTAGGTGAATTAAGGCGGCCTCGAGGGCCTCCTTTAAACATGGAGTTACTTTGGGCAGGTGATGTATCGCAATTACCAGCTCATCAGCAAATCACGGCACTTAACTTAAGCGCAGCAGCGGGAAACGTTGCCGGAGCGTCGCAGATAGGGGGAGCAAGCGCGCTGGCTTTACCCAGGCCAGAGCTTCGCCCATATCCACCCGAAGCTGAACGTGACGAAGACGAACAACCTATGATTTGTATGATATGCGAAGATAAGGCAACGGGACTACACTATGGCATTATTACGTGCGAAGGTTGTAAAGGTTTTTTTAAGAGGACTGTACAGAATCGACGTGTTTACACATGCGTCGCTGATGGTGGCTGTGAAATAACAAAAGCACAGAGAAATAGATGCCAATATTGCCGATTTAAAAAATGTATCGAACAAGGGATGGTATTACAAGGTGAGAGTCAAAACTTATACTTAACGTTTTCAATACTAACATTGGATGGTGTCATTTATAATGTATACTAAATTAACTAACTAAACCAATTAATATCAAATAGTATTAAAGATATGAAACACTTATGTTAATAACGGTTTATGATCTTTAAGCAAAATTCACATCTGATTGGGATTGTAGATTCTTTTTTTTATTATTTTATTATTGCTTATTTATAATTAAATGTTATTGTTTTAATATAGCGGTACGAGAGGACCGAATGCCAGGAGGCAGAAATAGTGGAGCCGTATATAACTTATACAAAGTTAAATATAGAAAACACAAAAAAGCGAATAGGGCTTCGACAATAACAAGTCGGCCGTCACCACCAGAGAAGCCCAAAGACCCGTTACCACCAATCCCTCAACATATTGTTAATGGCACCATTCTTAAGACTGCACTCACAAATCCCAGCGAAGTAAGTATATCCAAAAAACTAAGCACCAAATGGAAATTATTTTTAATGTTAAATTAGTTTCAAATTGATAACACTGCTTTAAACTTTCAGGTGGTCCATTTAAGAGCACGGTTAGAAAGCGCCGTATCATCATCGCGAGATCGTGCTGTACCTCTAGAAAGAGCGCTCCACATGATACAAGCATTAATAGACTGCGATGCAATGGAAGACATCGCAACTGTGCAACATCTACCAGACCTTCTTCACGACAGTTCAGAAATAGGGGACAAATTATGTAAAATTGGGGACTCAATCGTGCACAAAATGGTCGCTTGGACTAAACAATTACCTTTTATAATGGAAATACCAATGGAAATACATTCCAAGCTGTTGATGGAGAAATGGCACGAGATCTCAGTTTTGACGACTGCTGCTTACCAGGCGATGCACGGGAAGCACGCGCATTCGCGTCCCTCGTCGGACCACGAACAGGACTATATGGAAGAGGTGAGTTTAAATTGAATGTAATACGTAAATGAAAATACTACAAAATCATTTATTATAATAAAAAGGACCCTTTCCATACAACATGAATAACGAGCCCTAATGTGACGAGTACGCTCCGGGTCCCGAGCAGCAAACACTTCCGCCACATGAGGCTGAGTGCAGTTACGTGATCTGCATCGCTTGCGCAACTCACGATAGAAAGTCGCCGGCACAAACAGCTAGTTGCACTCGGACGTTTGCACTCACACATAACTACCTCTATTAGACTGTTTCTTGCAGATTAATGGCATTTGTATTATCTCCTTGATGGTCGATTTGTACTGTTACGCTGCCATTTACGTGACAGTATATATTTTAAATGTTATTCATAACAGAGGCACCGTGTTATGTCGATTTCTATTTACATTAATTTTTATATAGTGGGCTTAATTTTAATTTTTTGTTTGCGCTTTAAAATGACTAGCTACTATATTATTAAAGGACCTGACGTGTTAAGTGATGTCAATTTATGATGAACCCAATTATGCATCCTTGGGTCAGTTCACAACTAAATGTTTCTATTTTTATCTTACAAGTTATAAAGTTTGTTAAGAAATAGGTACGGTAATTTTACTATTTAAAACAAATTGTTGTATGCAATTACAAATTATTTTCACAAATAATCACCTTCGACGTATTATTAAGTTCATTGATATAAATCTTTATTGTAGAAGCTTTATAGTCAGTTAATGTTCTGCCTATTCCTCAAAATATAATAGTCATTTAAGATTCTGCCTACTCCTCAAAATATGTTAAAGATTATGGAAAAAGGCTATTATTGAATACTGTTTTTTTAATAAATAATTTCTTAGTTGTTTAATATTCTATTAAGTCACGTCAAGTAAAATGGACAAGGGCTGGCCATACACGTACTTTTATTAATGTGACCTAATCGGAACATTAGTGTTTTAAAAAGCGTATACGCTTATACTTATATAGAAATAGGTTTGGTTTGCAAACTGTGAAACATGGAGTACTGCGTCCTGCAATTTGCACATATTACATAAACACCGGTGTGGTAATAACGGTAGTTATACAGAAAGTATTTTTCATTGTCTAGAGCACTTCCTCCTTATTTATTATACATTCGAAATTACGTAAATATAATACATGTTCGATGTTGTTTAGTTTTACTATACATACACTATTCGCAACTTGTTGATTACGTATGCAGATGAGGCGCTATATAACTTTTAAGTTACTTCTCTGTATTGAATGGTAATCCTCATACTTCTGTAAATGATATTTCAGTATACAACACCGGAACTGCCCAATGTGGGATTTAAGTATTTTATGAGTAATAATATTGCCTTAATTAATTAGTTGGATGCGAGAGGCCGAAAATCGATTGAAGTGGTGTGCAATGGGAGAGGCCTATGTCTGGCAGTGGATTGCGATAGGCTGATGATGATGATTGTACAAGTAAAGAAATATAAAGTTAACTTCCCATATTGAGTAAACGAAGATTAGTAGTGTTCAAAAAAATAGCAGCGCAATAGTCTGGTCTTCAAAAAGTAGTGAACAGTTACGTCAGATTGAGTATTATTTTCTAAATATTATTATATTGCTTAAGTCTCTCAATTTACCCCTTGTTCAAATTTTTGCAGGGTTCGAGACATGTGTCATAGCCTGTAGTTAATTACGTATATTTATCTAACACAGAGTTTCTCTAAAATTTAAATTTAGAAAACCAGTTTCGAAATTAAACTACATGTAATATCATCATCAGCCTATCGCAGTTCACTGCGGGACATAAGCCTCTCCCATTGCACGCTACTTAGATCGAATTTATGCTTCTCGCATCCAGCTCCTGCCAGCCATCTTGCGCAAATCGTCACTCCACCTGGCCTGTGGTTGTCCTACACTACGTTTGCGTAGACGCAGTATCAGCTCAAGAACTCGTTTTCCCCAACGGTTGTGGGTTCTGCGGCTAATATGGCCAACCCACTTCAGCTTGCTAATCCGGTAGGCTATATCCTTGGTGGTCCTAGGTGACCTTGGTTCTCTGCCAGATCGCCTCAATCCTGATGCGATCCCTTAGAGAAACGCCGAGCATAGCCCTTTCCATAGCACATTTAGCGACTTTGAACTTGTAGACCAGCCGTAACGTAAGAGTCCATGTTTCAGCTGCTTACGTTATGACGGGTAGGACGCACTCATTGAAGACTTTCGTCTTAAGGCACTGTGGGATCGACGATGAGAAGACTCGACGTAGCTTCCCAAACGGGTTAGTCAGCGTTTAGGAAGTATGTAATATAAATTGCTAGTAAATTCACCTTAATCTTATTGATCCGGTAGGTAAATGCAAACCTTCGGACGCTGCAGGACTGTTTGACATCACTAATGGGCAGGCCCATCACATTAGAACAACTGCGACTGGACGTCGGCCTCGTTGTGGAGAAAATGACGCAGATCACCTGCGTCTTCCGACGTATACAGCTGAGAATGGAGGAGTACGTTTGTCTGAAGGTCTACATACTGCTCAACCAAGGTAGGCTAACTTTCTAATTTAAAAGTAGGCTTTCGATTTTTGAACAACAGTCTCTTTTAAACTTACGTTACAATAAGGAAAAGTCGACATTAGTGTCTCAATGAAGGATGGGACTTAAGTGAACATATTTACCTAGGACACACTTAGATTATAGAAATTTAGGCACGTTAAGGCAAAGTATTGCTTGTTTTTAACATTATTCGCCTTCAATTCATTACTAGTTTTACCAACTGATCAGAGTTATTTGAGAGAGAGGGAGAGATATTGAGAGATTGGAGAATAGCGAACTGATTAGAGTAGGACGATTGTATGTTTATATCATTAGTGATTTTAATTGTTTAGGTGGATTTTGTAACTATAACATCAATTAATTTTATTTTTATTTATTTATTTTCTTATAATATCTTCACAGAATTTTTCCAATGCGATATTGTAGTTACATTAATTAAATTTAAGCTAATCGGTTCCTTATACAAATATTGTCTTCTTGTATTCAACAACACATGTTTACATAAGCGCGAAATATTTTTTACAAGGCAGTAGAAGTTTACAATTTAAAATAATAAACATCGCAATGAATGTAAATATCCTCAATATCGGTAATTTCCGGGTTAAAGTATTATTCAAATAGTAGTTTGACGTCAAATTTCAAACCGGAGGAGTATCTTTTTTTTTTAATTGTGTTAATTGGTAAGTGGATAACCTTTCGCCGCATTGCAGACTATTAAGGTCATTTGTAAATTAGGTTATGTAAATAGTATTTAATGAAAACGTTTCCTTGTTTTCGCTATAAATCTTGTAGGTTATTAAAAATTGATTAACGATAACTGCGAAAATTTAAAAAATTGAAGCATTTTATCGTCTTTCGAAACATCCTGTGCAGTTAGATGCATGAATTCACAGTAAAATGTCAACGCACTTCGTTGTAATTCAGTTACTGGGGGTTCATCAGCCCATGATTCATGTAGGTCAGTTTTGTTATGTAAGCTAGGCATCCTACGAGGGACGTCGCGTCGGTTTGACTTATTATGTTACTAGATTTAAATTAAGATGTTTCCTTTTATATTTATTTTATACTCTGTTCTCTGTTAAATTTAACGACAACAGAGTAATATTTGTCTTACAAATGTAATGACTTGTTACTTTCGTTCAATTTTTAATCCAGTAAACAATGTATTATAAATAAAATTAATGTAGGTAATTTTTTATATCATCGTCGATCTTTTTACAAATCTAACAGGTTATATTATCAAACGGCTAGTGGATACAATACGGGAGGTGACAATAAAAACACAAGTACATCAGTGCGATATAAAATGTTCGTTAATATTATTATGATTTATGTTACATGTAACCTACTTGCGTCGAGTTGAAAGCGCACGACGTCGTTTAGGAGCAACTTGGTTAGGATATTGATAACAATTTCACTATGAATTACACTGATACATGAAAGTCTTAAAGTAAATTCACAATCTCGAATGTTCCTAGCAATAGCACAATAACTTTCATAATGAGGTGATAGATTTTTATTTATTCCAGCGAATGTTAATATTAAATAACTGATATAATTAAGACTCAATATCCTATTAAGACTTAAATAAATCTTACTCAATGTTCAACGGTATATTAATATGTATTCCGTAAGGCACAATGGTATTAGGCCCTAGTACAAGGCATGTGTAGGGAAACTGTGACATCCTGTGTTATCGCGTCTAACTAGGTCGCACTACGCTCTAGCGCCATGTTTGAAAATTATTTTCACCGCGCATGCGCGTTAAACGTCAAATACGAACGCTGTTTATCAAACTATGAAAGTACTCAGAGAATGTTTAGCTGCGCTCCGAAACACAACGTATTATGTTGCACGTCCGTTGTATAAATTAGCCTTAAGATAGCACTAAACATTTACACGGGTTTCCGTGAAAGGGCCAAATCTATAGTTTTATTGACGCGCGTCATAATTTTCATCTAAAATCATCATTATCCTAAACGGATGCAATTCCAGAAGGTACATAGTTACTTTGTTAATATTATCTATGTAGGTCTCTCACTACCCTAATAAACCTGCTTTACCCGTAAACTGAGGGGCCCGTCGAAACCACGTGCAAAATCTTTTCCTTCTTCTTCTTAAAGTTTATTTTTCTATAACCTTTAGGGAAAAATATTGCATGTGTCGGGAAACTGTGACATCCCGTGGGTCGAGCCGAGTAAGGGAGCGAATTACGCAGGACAACAGCACTGCAAAGAGAAGAAAAACTTTAACACAAAGCCTATAACAGGGTTTGTGTCAAGTTTTCCTAGCCAGCGTTGTTTAGTAGGCCAAATTCTTCTTTCTAAGAAGAGGCCTATGGCCAGCAGTGGACTATTAAAGGCTGTTGATGATGATGACGATGTAAGATATTTGCGTGGTATTAGCCACCCTCTCATACCCACTAGAGGTATCGAGTATCTAAGTGATCTATTTATTTAGAATTCTTTGAGATTCAGTACGTTATTCAGTACGAGATTCAGTACGTTATATGCATTTGAATAGTGGTACTATTAGCCGTGATCGTACCACTTTGTCACAATGAACCCTTTTGCAGCTTACATCTACATAGTTATACTCGGAAAAGACATACATTGTTGTGTTGTTACAAATAAAGCCATATCAGCATCATTAAACCTTTTTTGGCTTAAAAAAAGTTAACATAAAATTTACAAATTAAATCATTTTATAAATAACGGTTTCATAATTTCAATTCATAAATCATTTTATAAATAACGGTTAGATAAGACACGGCCCTTCAATAAGATCTATCTATAACGTTTATGAGTCTGGCTGTTAATATTTTCCGCTGTAATTTGTTCTTAAAAATTAAATAATCTGTGCTTGAAAATCGTTTATTTACTAGTAGTCAATGAAGTAAACTGTCAAAACAGAATTGGAATGGTATTGATATTGTTGATAACCTACTTGAGAATTGATTGCGTTGCCTGTACTCCAGTTTATGGAATCAATTTTCATTTGGAAAGTACTCTACTGGAAGAAATGGCATGTACTCGTATGTACACTTTTTCCTTTACTTGCAGATAGTAGCAGTACATTTTAACGTCTAATTTATTTATTTCATTACATTACATTAATTTAAAATTTTATAACGTCATAATAAATGGCTTTTGCCATGTTCGCTTAACATCAAACAATTTTTAATTATGAATGAAATTCTGTCCCCTTTATTTGGCCTCAAATTACAGTTATAATTTAAGCTCCTATTTTGATTTAACAAAAAGTTCATGTTTTAGCCTAAATAAAATTATAACAAAATACTTAATTTAAAAAAAGAATGCGAAGATAACGATAGAAATTTAACATACAATAATAACTTTCATAAAAATAATCTCCAATTTACTGCTTGTTCTGCTTTACTAAATGTTAAGCGATTTTTCACACGTGTTTCTTTACAAAATGTTAAGCGATTTTTCACACGTGTTTCTTTTGCTGCCAGCTACATACCATAACGAGTACAAGTGCGGTCCACGGTGAAAATGAAAGTGTTTGCGCAACCGCACCGTTGGCGACCATTGCCTGTATGTGTCCGTGTGTTGCGCTTGTTAGACACTAGTTTTGTCTATTGCGCAAACGCGCTATTGAGTAACACTATAAAAAAGTTGCTTTGGCGCACCCTCAACATAGATACAAAATAGGATTTTATTTTATTTTATTTCTAGTAGGTATAATACAAAATTAGTAAATTATACATTATGTGTCAATACGCTACAAGTACTCACATAAAACTGGGTAGGATGGATAGGTCGTTAACCCGTATAGAATTAAAATTGTCACATTGCATTTAAAGCGAATAATAATGTAGAGTTGGTTACGTAATCTAAAACGGGACAGCATTTCACTCTCAAAGCGGAAAGCGCGACGCGGAAGGCGAACTTTCTCTTTTGCTGCGCACAACGTGCATTGAAAAAAGCGCAAGCGCAGATTATTGAGTGAACCAGTACCACAGCGTCTCGAACGCACAGATTTACGTAACCCAAGCCATTACTACATACGCGCAATACGAAAATGAATACTGATTTCGCTCTAGGAAAACCTACATTTATTTTAAGCTTCCTAAATGTAAATACTGCAAATACTACATTAGTAAAGGTAACAATTAATTCTATTCAATGTTACATATTCCTCACTTTTATCGCATAGCGTTAAGCGAAAATAAACAAACATCAATTAAATTGTAGCTACTTGCAATAACAGCGCACACGAAACAGCCGCGCATACAATATCGTGGAAAAATGCACGTGAGCGAGCGAGACAGCTAAAGCGAGTGAGGACGCGAGTGAGCTCAAGCGGAGGTCAACGGCTAGCCGCGGTCGTTGCCCTGCTATCGGAGTGACCTACTGAGCAAGTGACGTCAGCACCGCACCGCCACTTCACGCGCGCCCCGTCATTGGTTCACCCCTACCGAGCAACGCCATCTGTATGCGAGTAGAGTAACTACACGCTTTCGTCATTGCATGTTATCAATAAATATTTCAATTAAATCAATACATCTAATTCTCGCTCATTGAATACGACTTATTGAATATTTTTTTACGAAATAGGTAGGACGGCACACCGATTCAAGGTTTCTGATGTTTTTGTTTGCTACATTACTAATTTGTTCCAGAAGTTGACCTAGAGGGAATACAAGAACGTTACGTACAAGTGCTGCGCAGTTACTTAGAACATGCTGCTCCACATCATCCTGGCAGGTTACAAGAACTATTCGCGAGGATACCTGAGGTGATTAACTATTTGATAGTTGATGTAAAACAACAACCACACATACATACTCACATACGCTCACATCTTTATCCCCGAGGCGACTATTATTTTAGTCTCACTTACATAATAGGATGCAAGCTTATTGCCGTCAACCGGTTACATATATTTCTAAATAAACATAATTAAATATTTCTAATTACAAACATATTATAGAAAAATAACACCCAGACACAGAACGTGCAGAAAATGATGGTGCTGATCACACTATATTTGCCCTGGTAGGGAATCGAGCTAGACCAACAAATACAAATTTAAGTCCACAGTGAAACAATAAAGCGGACTCAATCTCATTGCGAAGGAATAACAGTAAAGATTTATCTCCAGTTGCAATGTAAAACACATCTCAGGAGAAAGTCCCATTCCTTTAGAAAGCGTTTGATCGCATGATACTGATCACGTTTTCACATTACAGATCCAAGCTGCGGCGAACCTGTTACTAGAGAGCAAAATGTTCTACGTACCTTTCGTGCTGAATTCGGCAGAGCTCAGATAGTATATGGCCGAGCAGGGCGTCTAGTTCTCGATGTACGAGCGGCTGACCCCCCGACCGCGCCCTTGCCGCCCCCTCGTCTTATGATAGCCGCGTCGCCACCATGTGTTCAAGAGTTCTCCTGAGAGACCGCGAGCGCCGCCGCCGTGACGCTCTAGCACAAGAGTTCGTACAAATGTTCCTACTTGACGAAGTCGGCAGAGTTCGGACTTGCTCGGACGAAACGAACTTATCAGTCGTCTCTAGTGCGTTCAGTGTACGTCAGACAGGACAGTGCGGTACTTTTACCTTTGTTGAATCGATGAGTGTATTGGTTTATTGTTTAGTAGAGGAATTAAAACGTCCCAATTGACAGACTGATTTATTATTAAATAGCTATTACGTAAGGTACCAGGGACTTGGATGCGTGTTTTATACGTGGTAGTGTATACTACATAGTGTTAAATAGAATAAAATATATATTATGTTACTATTTAAATATGTCAGTCGGAGAATCGCATAATATATTACTTTGTAAATATAGGTTAACATTACAATAAACATAGTTAAGACATGTTGTTTTAGACACAATTGTTTCTCATAAATGAAATATTGCTGTTTTAGGTTGCATTTTGTATCGTTTAGGATTAACCAGTAGATTAATCACTGGGTGTGTAATATTGACAATTTCAAATTAATTTTATATGACTTGTTCATACGTAGAGTAAGTAGCACTAAGTACCTACTCTCAGTGTTTACCAAGACTGCTTGTATACAACTGTACTGTTTATACACTAACATTACCGACGCGGTGGCTCGCGCCATTATATAGTCACAACTATTGCATTTTTATTGCCAATACTTCGCATAACACTACTTATGCATGTTTCGTTCTGAATGTTTCACTCCTTTGATTCTGGTCTAACTAGATATAAGAGGCGGTGCGCCCGCACAGACTTTTGTGACGTCACACGCGGCACTTGCGCACCGCCACCGGCAGCGCACTCTTGATGCATTCAAACTGGCAACGTTAAATACATAATTATGTATATTTTGTACGTAGGTGCTTCGGACATTTATTGATCTTATACTTTGCTTCCTTTAATGTGTTCAAATGTAATTGTGCTCAATGTACCGTGATTTTATTTCATTAATTAAAACAGCTGTTTTTTACTTTTCATATAGATGGCTCTATTACATCTGTACATCATTATTTTAGTAAATTAAAAACCTGTATTATATTGTGTATTGCGTTCATTCTCGATTGCATAACATATTTCGCCACATAATATTTATTTTTAAGAAATCATCATCATTTCATAAGCATGCATCATCAGCATTGTCAATCCGTGATCATCCATCTCATGACAAACATTAGCGATCTATCATTCATGTTAACTAAAGCCATAGAAGTTCCACCTCATCTGTAGCGCAACTAACTGCCATAAAGCTCATATTCATCACGACAACAAGATAATACGTCACTAAACCCTACCCTACCTGACCAACAGAAATCAGGCATCTATCAATGTATTTTATTGTTTAATAAAAATAAATAGTAATAAACAGGCTTTACCTATAAGACTACTGTGACCTTATTGTCAGAAATCACTGCCTTTCATTTTCTAACAATTATATCGCCGTTATCATTGTATTTAACACTCGTATTAATCGTTAATGTTAAAATTTGTAATAAACGTTCCAGCAACGGTGAACAGTTACCATTAGATATAGGGGCAATGTACGCCTTTTGAATTAAGTAATCGCAACCAAAAAGTTCGTTCTAAGGACTTAGGTTCTAGTTGATTAGAGTTTTTTACGCCTTAGCTTTTTCCCGATCGACGTCGGCGTAGCCACATACTATCTTACATTCAATATAAATAAACAATTTAACAGCCTAGATCAGTTACCAGCACCAGACTTTGGAAATTCCAGAAATAATATCGTGCGAAATAGTTGGCACATGTTGTTGCATAATGAAGTTTAAGGGCACCCACTATTATTATATTTTTATGTAAATTATCTGACTAAAACTTTTTTGTGTTTTATTGATCGCTATTGTGTAAAAGACATTCATACATCCGTGGAGTCCCGATTCATAGGTAATGATTAAGTTATTACTTTTAAAAAATAAAAATAAAACATAATTTATACTTTCCGGTTAAATTTTTTTAATAAACTTGTAAACGTGAGAGTTATCTGTAATATTCAATCCACAAACTAAACTAGCAAAGCAAACTAAAATCCAACTATTCTCATAATGAAAACAATTTTCAAGGATTTGTATTATTGTTTAATAATGAACGATTTTTTCCTAATCCTGTCGGCAACAACTGCGCATTTGCCATGCGCCCTGAAATCCCACAATTCATGCTAATGATTCGATATCATAAACTGCTTGTAATATGAGATATTCCTGTTACCTGAATGAGCGATACATGTGCGATCCTCATCGTGTTACCATTAATATAAGTATTAGCGGTTATTAAATTTGTTTGTAAAATATAATTAGTTTGAATACAACCAGTTACAAAACTGCCATCAAATGCCTAAATAGTTTTCAATTTATTTTGTTATATTACGTACGTTTAGTTATGTTAATGTCGTTGGTGAAATTATTAGTTAATTGTGATAGTAAGCAGTTATTAAGAAATCGTGAAAGCGCAATTACGCGTCGCGCGCCGTCTACCAGCGCCCGCGCGTTTCCCGTGCACTTAACTAATGTTCGGTCTCACTACGTGAACCCTTCACAACGGTTGGGTTACTATATTTATTTATTAATTTTTTATCTAACTTAATTATAATAAATTAGTTTATAAAACACCATCAGAACGACGGTGGTAAATCTAAAGTCTGAGGTAAAGATGCCTTTATAGATTTTTAAACACGTAATAACGGAAATCGTAAATATTACTAGAATCGTGCATCGTTCTACTAATAAGTATGTATGTAAATGATAATGTATGTAAGTAATATTGACACTTATTTTGTTAGTATCATAGGGTATTGTTAAGGCGAACTAACGGCAGTGTATCAAAATGGAAATAGATTTGTAAGAATGTTATTGGCATTGTACAAAGGATAGTATTGTTAGTGTAAACAATGAAATTGGCGCATTACTGGCGAGTACCTAATTAGAATAGTACACGACAGCCCGAGAGGCTATACATTCAAGTAATATGTAAATACAAATAATACGCGTAAGGTGGCGCTCGCTTTCGTTGCACTTCTAAATTATTTGCTGAACTGTGGAATACGGCTTTTTCGCGTTTTCGTCTAATTTGACTATAAAACTTGTAGTATACATTTATAATATCAAAATTGACTGACCGATTAATAATAAATAATTTTTGAATAATTTGCTTGTGCTTGCTAATTTAATTTTAATGATTGTGCATAAAGTTAGGGCCGTCTGTCTTGGCAAGCCTTTCTCAGCCGAGGCTTCAGACGGCCACAACTGACTTAAGACTTGCTTGTGTGAGACAAACTACGACACCTAATGCGTACAGACACACAGCTTTAGGTGCTCTTTGTTAATAAAAAGACACTGGCATTTAAAATAAACGTGTCAATTATCAGAATTCAGATCCTTAGACGTGAAATGCACACAGGCTCGTCAGTCAGTTCGTAAATAATACTGCGGAAATATTTTGACTGATATAGATATGTAACGAACATAATAATGTTAATATATTTTTAAGGATGTAACAAAAACTTAATGCATTTCACAATTTCTTTACAGTCCATAAGAGAATAATTAACTATATCTAAGATATCGTGGCGAAATATTTTCACATTCATAGAAGTAAGGTTTGTTGTGTAATACAATAGCGTTTCAAGTATTTCGGGTAAAAGAAGGGTTGAACATTTGTGTACATTAGACATTGTCTTAAAATAGTTATGAAATCGAGTGTAACGCCGTATAAGAGAATATATATTTGGACGTTGACGAGTGTTTGTTGTATGTAATTACGTGTCACAGATGGATATTTGAACTCTAAGTACATATAGATATATATTCTACGAGTTATTCTTCATATTTTAATCAAATAATAATGGTAATCGATTTTTGTTACAATTACATAAACAAACACGTTTCGCTTGTCTTATTAATTTCCATTTCTAGAAAAAATATGTCCACTTTTATAAAATTTGAATAGATGGTCGAAGTCACTGGATTTAATGTTCACACGCTGCATCACTGCAAGTGTTCGCTTGTACTGTACTAGGTCTAGTACTAACGGTAGACACTTAGTAGTTGCAACGATTTATTTATAGGAGTTCAATGTGGTTGAGTGTGCTGTATTTCACGTATTTAGTTGGGCTCGCTCAATACCAAGACTTATCGCTTTCAGACCTAGCATATACTTTAAGTATTATTGATACATTAGGGTTCTATGTTTATATGTAGCAAATCACATTTAGCTGATTGCTGTACTGTTCTCGATGGTAAAAAGGCTGTTGTTATATTTCGACCAAGTTAAGATATACTGCAACTGTTAGCAGTGTGTACTGAGGAGTTTGTCTACTACTATTGTCTCGTTGTGTGGTGCGCCGGCTTTAGTCATTGAATGTGTACTGGTTTGCCAAGAGAAGTTACCTACAGTTGTTTAGTTAGCGATGCATAACGTGTTTGTACTTTAATTTGTTTTTTAGTTGTACTCTTGGAAATCAATGGTTAATAATTTAAGAAAATAAATTGTATGTGAAATATAATGATATTTGATTTTATTAAACATCTAAAGTTGGTAATATCCTTTTTTTTATGTGTGTATGGAAAACCCTTCGGGCCATCAAACTACGGTTTGCGAATGCTAATTTAATTTTATGATGCTGCGGTGTATCGGAATTGAACCGAGTGTAACCACACGGTGTGCCGCAAAAAATGAAGGGACCCAGAAACAGCCTTTAATAAGACATCTGAATCCCTCTTAACAACTGCCCGCAAAAGCGCTTGCACCATCAATCCCGAAGTGCCCGAGTGTGGACATCGTGGGTGACACTGTGATGGGTGAAGGTGAAAAAGCGTCCCGTCCACTCGCAGCCACACTCGGACGGCATGAGGCGCTGGAAGGCGCGCCTACGCTGTCCGGTTCTCAGTAAGTATGAAAATAAAATCATAATCATCTAGTTTTCATAGTAAAAGCTCTGCTTAGTTTTAAACTATCACTAAACTGGAAATACACTTTGAAAGAGTGTACATAGCATTATTATCTAAAGTACATTATTAGTGTATCGCGTACTAGAAGTGAACACTGCATTCGAAACTAGAGACAATTGAGGTTAAGTACATCACAATCATGGTCATAATCTAGGTCTTGACATTGTGAATGCATACAAATATTAACAATGTTTAGATAAATACACCTTTAACGACCAAACTGTTGCACCAAAAATAACAATATCATTACCAACTTTATTATGTGCTGAACACATACGGTACAACGGTGCATGTTGACCATAATTTATGCGGAAGAAAGGTAAGCTAAAAGTTTTTCTGTTATTAATACGGCTACCTGGACGTGGCACAGCTAAATTAAATTTTTAAGTAGGAGCGGGCTGCCTACTTTTCCGTTGAGTAGTTTGTACAAATAGTATTATTATTTAAAACTTTACCATACACATTTACTAGAATTAGATCAGGGAACCAAACTAGCGTGACTGCCATTGGAACTCCGCCGTCTGCTAGTGCGAGCAAGTTATGCTTGCTTGTTTGCTTGAGTTTACTATGAAATACCATATCCCAAACCTAACCATTTTCAAGATATTGAACTTTTAAGATTTTCGGTTAAGTTAACTACAATTAGTAGTTAACTTAACCGAAAACTGATTCATCAATCAATTTTTACTCCTAAGAAGTTGTCAGTTAAAGGTGCTACAACCATCAGTCAATGGGCCACGGTAGGTATATATAAAAGTAGAACAAGGCTTTATGAGCTTTATGAAGAAAGAAATTATAACACTAGTATAGAATTTCAATGAATTCATCCCCCGCCATTGCAGAATCATTATTGAAAGAGAATATTAACATTTGTTATACTGAGTTTAGATTTAGTTGTGTCTCTAGTCACATGGGGGTTCCGCAGGGCTCAAATCTCAGCCCATTTTTTGTTTCTTGTTTACATAAATGACCTACCTAATTTGATAAAAGATAATTAGGAGATAGTGCTATTTGCGGATGTCACTTCACTTTTATTTAAACTTAAACGACAGCAATCAGTAACTGATGACGTTAATAGCACTCTCTCTTCGATTGTGAACTGATTCAATGTTAATGTTTTACTTTACATTACTTTAAACGAGAATAAAACGAAATGTATTAGATTTTTTACACCTAATGTTAAGCAGATAAAAACCAATGTTCTGATAAATGGAAAGGAGTTGGATTTTGTGGAAACCAACAAGTGTTTGGTTTGGTTTGGTATAACTCTAGACCCTAAATTGCAGTGAAAAGACTCAGTTTAAAATTCGTCAATTAACCGATGTAGAAAAAAGTGAAAAGTTTCCGACCTAACAAAGATAAAAGACCTTTTTTCAGTATTTTTTTTTTATTTTTCAAAATAGTCTCCTTGTAACTCTACACACTTCTCCCAGCGATGCCCCCATCTCTGTAACCAAATAGTACTCGGTAGTAGTTTTCTCTGCAAAATAATTGTTCACGAAGGTGATTGCCTCTTCATTTTAGATGAGGGAACAAGAAATCTCTAGGGGCTAGATCTGGTGAGTAAATCGGATGGTCAGTTCAAAGCGTAATTTTGGGGGTTTTGGCCATGTCAACCGCTGAGGTGTGAGACCGTGCGTTGTCTTGATGAAACAGGATTTTCTTTTTCTGCAAATATGGCCATATTTCCGCAAGTTCTGCCTTCAGCTTGTCAAGTAATGATGCGTAGTATGCTCCTGTAATGGTTTTTTTCTTTTTGGAGAAAATCGATAAAAATAACTCCATGACTATACCAAAAACAGTCGCCATCACTTTCCCAGCCGAAAAAACAGATTTTGCCTTTTTTTGGGGAGAGTTCCCCCTTTGCAGTTCACGATTTGGACTGTATTTTTGTTTCGGGCGTATAATGCTGTATCCTAGTTTCATAATTAACAGTACAGTAATTAACCGGCGCCAAGACTCGGATTTATTGCGCCTAAACAGAGCGTTGGAAATGTTCATTCGAACACGTTTTTGGTCTAACGTGAGCAAACGCGGCACCCAATGCGCGAACAGCTTTCTCATGTCTAAATATTGATTTAATATGTGACAAAAACGTTCTTTTGACATATTCATAACCTCTGCTATCTCTCTCACTTTAATTCCGCAGTCGTCTAGCACTATTTGGTGAACTTTGGCGATGTATTCGTCAGCGTGGTAGAGTAGGCCAAAACCTCTTTTCTAAGGAGAGGCTTATGTCCAGCAGTGGACTATTAAAGGCTATTGATGAAATGATGGTGCAAAGTCCCCATACACAGAATCTAACTCATCTTTGATTTGCTTAGGCGTATTGCCTTTCTTCAAATACAAATATTTAATGACAGCTCGATACTCGATTTTGCCCATTTTCATAAAAAAATGAATTGTATAGTAATATTTTTTTTTCATGTAAGTATGGAAATGTGAGTATAGTGTAGGCTTGTAATGTTAATTCATATTTTAGTAACTTTCTGGTGGTTTTGAGTGTTTCCACGACCTACCCTAATGTTCTGCTGGCAATAGTATCATGCTTCGGGTCGTTGATCTTGACCAATATCGGTTATGCTACACGATGGCTGGGGCCTGAATGCCGTCTGTATGGACAGGCCGATTCAAAAATATGGTCCTTTCTTCAAAAGGCCTACCCAGACCCGACACTGTACGCTCAGTTTTATTTAACTTTTTTTCTTCCTTAAAAGAAAAAGACACCTCTGTGGTTTGTTTCGTCGTTTCTTCCCAGAGTGAGTCTTAGGAAATGCCAGCTTCATCTAGCTGTAAAGTCCGATTTGTAACAATATCTGAAAAGATTTACTTAAAGAAATGGATATCATTTATCGTTTATCCTGTATACCGCTCTTCACCATGGAGACTAAATGTTACCTCTTTATTATACTAACTATAGATAGACAAATAATACATAAAGTACTTACCTAATTAAATAATCCGCTAGTAAAAACAAATACCCACCTTTTCTATGCAAATTTTTAACTTTTTGGATATAACTAATGTCATTTGGTGGTCAACAGTTAAATCTTAAGTGTTAAATGCGTGCACCGATATAGTAAATATTAATAATAATTTTCTACCACATTTACACAATGCCATCTAGTCCCAAACTAAGTAAAGCTTGTGCTATGGGTACTAGACAACTGATATAAATACGTACATACATACTTATTATACATAGAAACACCCAGACCAAATCAAACATTAAATGTTCATGCACACAGATGTTTGACTTTAGCGGGAATAGAACCCGCGACCTTTGGAATAGCAGTCCGTTACACAAACCACTAAGCCATTCGGTCGTCGAATGAGCTGATTGTGTCCCTTTTCGTGAAAAATAACTGCAACTCTTTCTAACAAAAATGTTAAAAAGAGTTGGATAATTTGTTTTGTGGTCTGTGCTATGGTCGGGGATTCCCGGTGAAATGAACAGGGCGGTCGCCTTACCGCGCTCTAACCTAACGCCGCTACTGGTTTCATTTTTCTCCTTTGTTGACATGTACAATAGCTAGTTGACTTCTGGTGTAGAAACTGATACACTTTATGTTTTTGTTTCGGTTTTCGCTAACAACGGTAGTTTCCATATATATATATATATATATATATATATTATATATATACTTGTAATTCACATTACAATGGAGTAGTATATAATATATACTACTCCATTGTAATTCATTAAATAATTGATATCAATTAATCTGATACGCACACTAAGATTAAATATAATTTAAAAAATTGTATTTATTTTGTAAAATTTGTATTTAATTTGATCTACTAGAAGTACCTTAGCTTTTAAATAACGTTAGAGAGTGAGTGAATTTACAGTACATTGTAAATTTACATTCACAGGTTTCATTACATTCACATTACATTCATATACTAATCTTAATCTTTTTTAATTTAGTGGCTCCAACGGTGTATACTAGACAGAGAATTGCGTCCCAATCAGTAAAAGTCATTCTAAATAAAGTGAAGCTTAGATCGAATCAGCGGAGCTGTAACAGAACACGTCAAAAAACACTACCTAGCGAAAACAGCATACTGGAACGTACCCTTTTTGTATGGTCTGTGGTCTAAGTCTTTCTGTCAAAAAACTGGCTGCCGCTTGCCACATGTCAGGCATAAAATAAAATCGTGTGATTTTATTAAATTATATTGTAAAAGAATTCCAAATAAAAAAAATGGTACGTAATGCCCTACAATTGTTTCGTCTAAGTTAAAGAGAGTGTACTCAATTGTGATCTGTGTCGACCTTATGGATAGGAAACATGTGTGACATCAATATAATATGAATATTTCGGTTTTCAGAAACCTCTTATGCTCCAAGGGCACGAGCGTGCCATCACACAGATTAAGTACAACCGTGAAGGTGATTTGCTGTTTTCGGCAGCAAAAGATGCTAAACCCAATGTTTGGTGGTCATTAAATGGTGAACGCCTCGGCACTTTCAACGGACATGGCGGCGTCGTATGGTGTCTTGATGTTGACTGGCAAACCATTAACCTCATCACCGGAGGTGGTGACAGTTCGTGCAGGTTTGTATATACTTTTCCTCATTACTATTATTAACCTTCTGACTCATAGAAGATATCATATTCTATAATCCCAAATGTCTGATCCAATATGTAAATAAAAATGTCATTATGTTTACATAAAAATACAGACTCTGTAAGTGAAACTGTAACCATTTTGTTATTAAAAGCTATTCCAAGTTAATTTTAATTAGTTTTTGGTCACTTTTAGCCTTTTTTTTTTCATTTAAAGCTTTTAAATGAATTCTTTGAACACATTCTTTGATTGTTGATATGTGTGTCGCGTAACTTCAGACTCACCTAACTAGGAGATATCTAAGCAAAAATGATAATAATCTTAATTCCATGAATTAAAAGGCAGTATTTTATTATTATCACAGTATTGAATAAAACGATTCTGTTCAGCAAATTTATTATGAAAACCATCAATTGTTTAAAAATATGAATGTTCAGATTGGATTTACCTTCATTTGATATAATTGAATGTGAATGATACATATTTGAAAAAACTAAGTGTGGATTATAGGACTTTAATTTAACAGACTAGATCTAGCTGGATTTGAAAAAATATGAATATAACTAGAAATGTGGTAGCGGCGAAATCACTGAATACTATCGACTGGAAAATTTGTGGTAGCTAACTTAATATATCAAAAAATAATAATTAATAAAACTAAATAATTCTGTAATAGTAGAACAACAAAGATAATTGATACATTGATAATGGTTAGAACAACACTAGTGCTAACTCAGGACTTCTAAAAGACGCATGATAGGTATTTCAAACTTATCGAATTTTCCCTCTTTCCTCTTTTGTATCAGGCTGTTTTCAGGCTTTCATTGGTAGTACATTCTTATTGGAATTATCCATTGGAACTCGCTAGTTATTAAAAATAAGCAATAAAAAGCGGCATATTACTGCTGCAGAGTTTACGTTAACTGATGACCATCTTGAACAAAAGCAATTTGCTGATTGGCTTGGTTTGTGTAGCGGACTGCTATTCCAAAGGTTGTGGGTTCGAGATTCCCGCTTAAGTCTAACATTTGTGTGCATGAACATTTAATGTTTGATTTGGTCTGGGTGTTTCTATGTATAATAAGTTTGTATTTACAAAAAAAAAGTATGTATGTATTTATATCAGTTGTCAAGTAGCCATAGTACAAGCTTTGCTTAGTTTGGGAATAGATGGTGTTGTGTGAATGTGGTAGAATATTATTAATAATTGAAAAAATAAGACTAAAGGTTTTTTCTCAAAAACCTTGTGGCTTTATATACAAATGAGGGAATTGTTTCAAAGCTTTATTTGTACGCTTTCTTTTGATACCAATATCAATCATCAACAGCCTTTACTAGTCCAATGCTGGACAGGCCTCTCCTTAGTAAAGAGGTTTCAGAAACAAACAAAAGACAAAGAAATAATATGTCATATCACTTTCAACTGCTTTATTGGGACTGTCAGTAGAATATTATATGACAATTATAGTCCGTTAACATCGTGCGTGACCGTCCTTCGGAGTGATAGATGGTGGTACTCAAGATGTCAGTAGGTAGCAGGTGGTGTAGCGGGAAAGGGCAAAGCGTGCAGCTGCACGTCAATATACTGCAATACCTGTTGTATAGTCTGTTAGACTTTGTTATACACTAGATTACGATCTCAGGATAAGTTAGACGCTTTTTACAGACATTTTAGCACGGGGTGGTGTAGTGGCTTTCAATTCACTATGGAAAAATCTTTTGAAAAAAGGATTGAAATTGATGGTTTACGGAAGGTGTCATACGTAGAAAAAGACTGACGTGTTACCTCGTCCCCGCTACCGTCTGTCTCACCGCAGGATGGTCGCGCACTCTTTGACGGACTTTAGCTGTATACACATACATGCACTTATTATTTTAAGTTTGTAAATGAAATACTCAATTATTTATAAACTATACTTAATTATGATAACCATAATATCTGAATTACACTGCACATTTTCATGCAGTAATATCATAACTTTTTTATTCAACAAGTTACTTGCAAACTGTTTTATGTTTCGTTCTCATATTTATTATATACTGTTGTTTTTATAGATTGTGGGACTTGGAAACTGGTAAGAATATAGCTACAATTAAGTCAAACTCTTCAGTGAGGACATGTAACTTCAGCTTCAGTGCTTACCAAGCAGCCTACACTACTGACAAAGCTATGGGTCATCCCTGTGAGGTAAGTTAAATTCATTTCTTTTCCTGTTCTGCTTAAACACATTCAGCCCTTTAACCGTCAAGATTTTAATGGTTTTTGTTTTAATTATTACATTTAATTTACATAAGCCAGTCATTTAGACTAATGCCATTCAATTTTTTATAACAATTGTAGTCAAAATGTTATTAAATTGTGTCACCTAATTATTAGAATTGCCCCGGTTAGAGGCCCCCCCCCCTAGATCCGGGTCTGTGTGTGAGTGACTACAGCTGTCCATAGTCGCCTGTCACTCAATTACAAGTCGGTTGTCACCATTTCATCCTCTCATTCTGTGAAAAGCAATGAAGCAATAGCTATAACTGGTTTTCTGTGAGGCCGTGGTGTCACTCCGGTCGAGACGGCCCATTTGTGCCAAAACTATTTATCAGTAAACAGCATCATCCATATTATCAAATTTAATATCTATCAATTTATATAAAACTTGTAACCAAAGAATAGAAAAATTACTTTAACGTGAGCATCGGCTAGTATCTAATAAGACTTTAATTTCAGGTATTTATAATTGACACAAGAACAATTGATGAATCCATGTCCACTCAGTCCCCAATTCTGAAGTGGGAAATTACAGACTCTAAGGTTACATCCATGGTGTGGGGTATCAGTGATGAGACCATCATCACTGGTCATGAGGCTGGTGACCTAATACAGTGGGATCTGAGGGTATGTAACATTTTATGTTAAAATTAATTATTAAATAGGGTGACACCTAAATTTAAACATAATGAAAATTTCATTGCTTCCATTCCAATGCAACAAGCTCATAACTATTGTAATATATTAATAAAAGCACCTCAACTTGATACATTTACAGACGGGCAAGAAAATCCACTCCATAAAGGAACACTCGCACCAGATCAACGACATGCAATTATCCCGCGATGGGACCATGTTCATCACAGCATCTAAAGACCAGACTGCAAAGTTGTTCGATACCAGTTCCTTGGAGCTCCTCAAAGAGTACAAAACTGAGCGACCAGTCAACTCGGCTGCACTCAGCCCAATACTCGACCATGTCGTTCTAGGAGGTGGTCAAGATGCTATGGAAGTGACCACAACCTCTACCCGACAGGGCAAGTTCGACGCTCGATTCTTTCATCTAGTATTTGAGGAAGAGTTTGGACGAATTAAGGGCCATTTCGGACCTATCAACAGTTTAGCATTCCATCCCGATGGCAAGAGTTATGCGTCCGGTGGTGAAGATGGTTACGTCCGTGTTCAGAGCTTCGACCAATCATATTTCGATTATACATTTGACTATAACAGAGAGTAAAGTAAGCAGTGAAGAAGGTATTAGTAAACTTAATCGAAACTGTAATAAAACTGATTTTTATTAAATGACAGTTGCTGTTTCATTTTTAGCCTTTACTCATGGCAGTTGGATTACGTTGATTACTTTATTATCTATCAAACAAAACTCATATATAAAACGTTACTGGTTTCTTCACGCTCTTTAGTCGCACGCTCTTTAAAGCACAACAAAATGGCGAATTAAAATAATGCATTTTATTTGAATTAAATCAGACAGGTATAATGTATTTTTATTTAATATTTCACATAAAAATAGAATAAAATGTACTTTAAGAAAATGAACTGAAGACTTTCTGTCCATGAGATGCTTTATAGTCATTTTGAAATGCCATGAACGGTTCGATGGGCCAGCTCGACCTGTTAACAAATTGATAGCAACTCTAACCAGACACTGGACCCTTATAGCTGTAGAAGTCGAAGTCACTACGATCCAAGATTCCGCAGACCGTGATCGACTTATGACAAAAACTAGTTTTTAATAAACTTTCAAAGTGCTTACACCAAACAAAAATTCAGGTTTGATGTCACTGGTGTGACAGTCCAATACAAATCCAAATCGTTTCAAAACACAAAATTCAAATCAATTCAGGCATTTTAGTCTGCTATCATCGTGTAATGAGCGGATGACTGTTTTTAATAAGTAGGTACACTGGTGTTATTAGCATATTTTATCGGTTTAGCGTATAAGATGAGGTAACATTTCTTGAATCGTCACTTATCATCATCAACAGCCTTTCATAGTCCACTGCTAGACATAGACCTCCCCTTAGAAAGGAGGTTTTGGCCTACTATATCACGCTGACTAAACGGGTTGGTATAAGGTTTGTTTCAAGTTTTCCTTCTCTTTGCAGTTCTCTCACTAATTGTTAATCGTGACTACTACACCATACTAATTTATTGCCCTGCCAAAAGTAAAAAGGCGAAATGTAACAAAGAAATATATCTATTTTGATTAAATAAGTGTAATAGCCAGCAAGGTATAGTAGGCCAAAACCTCTTGTCTAAAGAGCAGCCCATAGGACATATCCAGCAGTGGACTATTAAAGTAATATATATATGTGACATGTAAAATATATATAATTATATATATATGTGTGTTAAACAATATGATTCACACACACACACACATCAACAGCCTTTAATAGTCCACTGCTGGACATAGGCCTCTCCTTAGAAAGAAGGTTTAACAATATGATTGTTATCATGTAATCATTACCCATATCAATGTGTTTTGTATCATTAACTAATTTCAATGAATTGTTAATTTTAATTGCCTTATAAAGTATTTTAAACACGGGAATTTTAAAGCACTTTTAAAGTTAATCTAAATAAATTATTCATAAAGTGCATTCAACTGTTATCTTTCTGTTAAGTAGTTACTGTTAGCTTTCAATAATCCACTGCTGAACATAGCACTCTCCTTAGAAAGAAGTATTTGGCCCACTACACCATGCTGGCCAGATGGGTTGGTATAGGGTTTTAGCAACTATTCCTTCTCCTTGCAGGGCCGTTGATCTGCATAGTTTGCTCCCTTAATCGACTCTTACGACACCCACGGGATGAATAGGGGTGGTGACACTCCCGTATTCTTAATCAGTCACCACACGGAGCACAGTTAATTCTGACTAATATACATATATTGCAATTCATTTACGTCTGACTTTGCCAAAGACCAAAAAAACATTGTATGCAACAATTTATTAGATATATAAAACATTATTTAATTACACTTGGGAATATTTTCACTTATGCTTATATAGATAAAGTACATCAGAGGAAGTAAGGCGTCGTGTGTTGTGGTGGCACTTCTCTTTCGCTGTCCGGGACTGCTTGGAATAATTTTGCAGTTCTATCGTTTACTGTGTTGAATTCTAGTATAGATGCCACGTTACCGCACCGGTAACAGTAGTTTGGAGCAGACCATACTGTGACTAGACGTTTATCAAACATATATTTGTAACCTGCAACAAAGTTAAAATTATTAGGTATGTTATGGCCGGCGAATGTAGAAAGTGAAACCTGATTACTTCACTTTATGGTAGCAAACATTCTTGACAATGATCTCAAAATCAATTGCTTGTACATATTTTAAAATTATCCCATTTAATTAAGATATTATTCATTGGAAAGCTCAACATACACGCTACATTTTGTAATTAATTGAAACATAAGACAATTATGTTTTAGTCAAAAAATATTATGTTAATGATGATGATTGTCATTGATGGTTAGTATTGAATATAGGAGCAGGTCTACTCCTAATTTAAAAAAAAAAAGCGAGAGAATGGTGTACTTACAAAAAAAAGACTAATGTGTTCATTATCACGCTTTTCTAAATCAATAAATTGAACTTTTCCTGTACTATCCCCTTAAAGAATTATCTATACTTAGCTTATTATTATTTATAACACATACCATCATTCACTAACTGATGTGCTCGACATATTAAATTCAAATCATTATAATTCATAAAAAGTTCAGTGACGTAGCTGCCGAACAGCCATCCTGCGCCTCGTGGACTGACAGACCTGCAATGAAAACATTTGCACAACTTTATATTAAAAAACTAAACTCTACTACTACTAAACCTACTGAGAGTAAGGGTCATTTGATAAAAGTATTAATTACGATTACTACTCGTAATTACAATTAAATACTAATTTCAATAACAATTAAATAATTTTGATTAAACTTTATTAATTGGACTTTACAATTCAATTTATTGATTAAACTTGGATTATTGCAGTTTAATTTATTAATAACAATTTACCTTTAAATTGTTTACACAAATCAATCGAAAGTAAAAATTAACTGGTTCTGTACCTGTAGTATTTGTTGCTAATAGTACTTGGTAACAACTATATGTGAGTGAATGGTATTTGCTGATTCAGCCTAATGATCTCAGAATTACTTACCACATCTTAATATCAGCGGGATCTGACCAAAGGAGGTCACAGAAAGCACCTTTATGTGGTATTTGTTGATTTCTGTCAATACAACGAATTTGATCTAACATAGATATTTCTGGAGATAGGCCTCCATGCACACATAGTACAGTTTCATCTATAATCTGTAAGAAAATATGGACTGTATTGGCACAAGGTGTATGTATGTACAGGACCAAAAGTTCTAAACGTAAAAACGGCGTGGACCCCTGGAAGAAACGAAGTTCCTTATGCTTTTGGTAGACTTTTGCTATATATTTGTTATGGGGAAACAGTGTACACTTTCAGGATTTATTTATACTGCAAAAAAATGTATTAGAATTATCGGCAAAATTGGAAATCGTGACAGTTGTAGGCCCTACTTCATTAAATATAACATCCTCACACTACCATCATTATACATATTTGACATTTGGATATTTGTATTCAAGAACATGAATCACTTCACAAGAGTAAAAGACAATAACATTTGAAACACATGCCACAGAGACAGACTATACCTACCACCCTTAAGAATTAAAATGCTAAACCAGAGCTTACTACATGGCTGTAAAAATATACAACACCTACTACATGGCTGTAAAAATATACAACACCTATCCACATAAAAACTGAATCAGAACTGAATGAAAAATGTTTCTATTCAGTTAAAGAAAACATTGAAGCAAAAATCACATAACAAATTACATATCTTATTACAGGAATAACAGAATGAATATACCTAAACACATGATAAAAAGAAAAATAGGTTTTGATACACAATAATGCAAGGGACATTAGAAGAATATGTGTCGATGTAAAATTTCGAATGCCTTCGTATTTTGCATGATTTGTTCAATTGTTCTACTGTACTATTGAGTTACTAAACTTATTATTATTCTAAAATGCTTGCTAAATGCTTATATAATAATTTATTCTTCTGTATTCTCTCTCAATTTTGCAATGACTGGAAAAGGCTACTAAGTTGAGACAAATAATAAAAAAATAATATTATGATACCATTAACATACACTTGGTTGGCAAATAAAAATTGGATTTGATTTGATTATATGAAATATGCAAAAGATGTGAGCATCGACGCGCCAACCGAAGTGTCGGCAAAAAATCTTGTTACACATTTTTCGGTATCGCTTTCATCCACTCAGAGCGCCTAACGCGCGATAAGGAACTTGGTTTCAATATATAATTACAGAACAAATAATTTAGTAACTTAATTTTTAGTCTAACATGTAATATGATAAACTTGCAATATAGTGTTTGCTATTTTATTTTTTTTACTTAAAAATAATGAAACTACCACTTATCACAGTAAGTATACTCACAGCAGCAACAGTTAGTAAATCAAATACTCGACAGCAATCATTCCAAGCATTTGCATTACCATATTTGTTTAGACATTCATCATAAAAGCCGTATACTTTAGTTATTTGACAGGTTTCATGGTTACCCCGAAGTAAAATAATTCTAGAAACAAACACCTATATTATTTAATTTAGTTTAACAATAAAAATATGGATGGATCTCTGCCAGTAAGTGACAGTTCATACATATATACATATAATAAACGGTAAATTAGAGAAACTGATTAAAAAATGAATATGCTAAAAGAATACTAATATAGTCTACACTTTTTTAGCATATTTGTGAGCTTTAGGAAGTGAATCAGTAGCTAAGCCATCACCAAAGGGTTGCTACTGAAAAAGAAACAGCAAAAAGTATGACAAACTTTTAGTTCACATGAAATGTCAAGGGTAATTTATTGGGCTGTTGGGCTAGTGGTTAATGACCCTGCTAATTATAGAATGAGTACAATCATTTGTTCTTTGACTGGGTGTAATTTATCTATAATATGTATGCATTTAGAAATATTTAAATATGTTATTAGCAGTCTGGCTTTAGTGTAACCAAATTAAGTTGGAAAATTCCGTGATTATGTATTTGCATGACAATAACAAATATCACATTTTGTCATCACAGTCAAAAAACAGAATATATATTTAAAAAAGAAAACTATTTGTGTTCATATTCAAGAAAAGTTGTTTAATACAACCTACTGTTTACATATTTTATAGACCGCCATTATAAATCAAAGAGATTTGCAAACTAAGGAGAGTTATTTACACATACCTGTCAGGATACCTTGCTTTTAGTGCCATGAGTAATGTTAACGTTTCAAGACTGTAATAGCCTCGGTCAACATAATCTCCCATAAATATGTACTTAGTGTGTGGCATCTGACCACCTATACGAAATAATTCTTCTAAATCATAAAACTGAAAAAGAATAATATACACTATATTATCAAAGTTCACTTTTACATCAAAATCTTCAGTCATTCGGATAATGCCCACAAAATATCAATCATGTAAATAATATGATAATATTCTGCATTATATGATTATCAGACAATGGTAACATTATCAAACGATTTCAAGTAAAGAATTGTTTTAAATATTAAATCACAAGCAGAACCTAATACAATAGGTTTACACAGCTAAAAAACTAACGTCTGCTCAAGAGAATGTTATAAAAGCCTATATTATTGGCGTATATATTTATAAAACAATGAGATTTCAAACTTATTATTTACCTGACCATGAATATCACCACACACAGTCACTGGTGTCTGCACCGGTTGAACATTGGGTTCCTCCAACAACAAATCGCACACAATATTACAAAGTTCCCGTAAGTCATCTTCTGGCAAATATTTACATCTCTTTGCGATTTCTATCCATTTATCCACGTCAGTCATATTTCTAGTTTTCACAAAAAGGAAACGTTTACTTCGTGACTATATACAGTAAGTAGTGATTTTTGGAAGGAAAATGACAGGTTACTAGATTAGAGTCGTTCCTGAAGACTTATTCTCATATACTTCGACTTTTCTTACAAAAATCTTACTCAAATGTCATCCTTGCATAAGTGACGCCTTTTTAATTTTCTTTATTCGATTTAAAGTTAATTAATTAAAGTAAATTAAAAGGTAGAATACAATGAACAATCGAAGTAGGTATAACTTTTTCGTGTTTTTTGTGTTTTTTTCCGTGTAGACCCCGTGATTGAATTGTGAGAATTTCATTTTGAAACGAATAGATTGTAAAGCTAGTAATTCATTAAATAACCCTATGGGTATTTAAGACTAGCGATGTTGATGAAATGTCTAGTTTTTCTTAAATTGAAGGAAATCAAAATCGTTGAAATTAATATGAAAACTGATAAAATGTTGTAAAAGTAAACATTTTTTTAAACGAAAAAGAAAAATTGTTTCTTTCAAGTTGGTTTAACCATTTTTGTGCTAACAACGCTAATGAAATACGACTCATATTTCTAAAATATTCTATGTCTAAACAAAAATCACAAATATTTGGGTTAGGCATCCGCGTGTACCTATTTAGACTAGACTAAAGATAAATAGTTTCTTTTCATCATCACTGTCTGCTAGCGTTTGCTTGCCTGATTACTTTATCACTGGTCTACAGTTCTAACATAGTTTTAGCACAAAGTAAGCCAGTAATCAGGTCACGTGAATTATACCGAAAACTTTATTAGTTTGTCAATATAAAAGAGACTTATTTCTGGTGGACTTCTTACATGCCTTCAATAAAGTCAGTCACGATATTCTCATCTATCCTCTCCTATCTTATGATCTCACATGAAGCACTGGCATGCTCAGCAGTTCGCTTGTATCATCTTGGGGTTTTACTAACGGAATAAGGTGAATATTTGCACAAACCTTTATTTTGATAGTACAAATGTCGCAAAAGTCACATATGGGCCTCAATTCTGCTATTCTAATATTGTATCAATAGACTGCCGATGGAATGTCAAAGGAATAGTTTTATACTTTTGTATTCCACTAACAATGTGAGATCAATGGCCCGATGACTTTTCACTGAACTGCCACTGATACAAATGTCATCGATGTCTTTGTAATAGTTTGGTAAACGGCATATATTCGTGACGGATCTTTCAATACATATTACATAGATGAAATTCTATATAGGTGATTTTGTATTCACTGTAAAATTCTTAGGTATCGGTTTGTAACACTGTAAACAGCAACTTTTTTTCTGGCCAACGTCAAAATGAAAAAAAATTGGTGCTCCATTCAAATGACCAATCAAATGTTGTTAGTTTGTATTGAGAAACAATTTTTTTTCTTTTGTTTTCGGTGTTAGTCCAGAAGAAAAGTTGTTGTTTATAATGTTACTAATATGCACTTCAGAGGTTTTCAGTAAATTTAAAATAACCCTGAATAATGGTTATTAGGTAGCTATGAAAAACTATTGAATTCTGTTCAGATTACTTTTTATTTCTTAAAACAAATATATGGCACCTTTGTATTGCAATTATTTATCGTACTACACTAAATCAACTAGGCAGGTCGTAGGTACTGAAAGAGCTATCTTTATAATGAGATCAATCAAACATATTTGTATTATCTTATTAAAATAATGAAATATTTAAATATCAACAGCAAAGCGTCAAGTGGCGACAACTATCAAGGTCACGGGCTCCGACTGAGTAAGAAACTGAAGATCCGTATCCGTATCCGCGGATCTTGACACCAAATATCCGTATTCGGATCCGTATCCGCGGATATACTTTGTTAACGATCCGGCACATCACTGGTTACAACTATTACTTTTTATGGAGAAATCTAAGAAATTGTCAAGTCAATATTCTGTGTGATTTGGGAAATGTTTGTTTCATCAATGATTTTTTTTTATTTCTTATTTATTTATTTATTTAAAAATAAGGTAAATACAGATTAAAATAAATACAGTGATATAGTCAAAGTATCTTTATCTCATAAAATTATTTGAAGTTTTTTTGAAATCATCTCTTATGTAGACTCTAAAGTTAGTAGTAGTAGTACTAGATCAACACACACGAAAACAGCATAAGCAAATATTTGACAAAACAGATTGTCAAATATTTAGCAATATAAATGTATATCTATAGCAAACTCGTTTCGCAGGCGTAAAGCTTTATGATATAGCTTTTTTTTTAATAGCCTCCATCAAGTAAATGGACTCTCTAACCTCCATTTTCCTGTTTATCCTGTAGATATTAAAACTTCTTGTCTCCTGAAACAATCACTATTACCATATTTATTAGGAAACATAATAATAATATCTTCACACATCACCCAAACTAAGCAGAACCTGTACAATGGTAACCAATCTGCTGATAAACGTGTATATATATATATATATAAAACTAAAATAAACTAAATACATACATATTATAGATAAATTACACCCAGACTCAGAACAAATGCTTGTGCTCATCATACAATATTTGTCCTGTGCGGGAATCGAACTCTCGACCTCCGGCTTAGCAGTCAGGTTCACTAACCACTAGACCAACAGGCCCGTCAGAGGAATATCTTTGTACAATGCGTTTTTCAGTAACTCATTCATTTTAAACAGTCATTTTGAAGGTGTGTCTGTTACTACGTTGAAGCTCTTGAATCCATAGACATCTTTTTAAGCTTTGCCCAGTCGGGTAAAAAGTGAGTACATTATGGATACTAATTTGTTTTACATCTTCCTTTGAAAACTTGGTTAATTTGTAACAGTGATTTTTTTTTAATATTTGTATAGCGTACGTAGTTGTAAACAGCGACACCTATTGCCCCGCGTCGCATTTATTGATTTATCCAAAGTAGATTGTAACTATAGTATTGATGTTCTTCGTCCGCCATCGGACCACTAGATGGTGTTGTTTTATTGGTAAGTCATAGTAAGAATTTATCCTGACAAATTGTATTGGTGTTAAAAGTGTCCTGTTATGGTAGCAAGCGAGTTACTTTGGTAGGAAGCGACTGCACGGATGGCGTAGTGGTTTAAGCGGTCGCCACGCAACTTTCTATTACGCCGAGTGTTGTGGGTTCAAACCCCACATGGGACAACACTTTGTGTGATCCACAAATTGTTGTTCTGAGTCTGGGTGTACTTTGTGTCTGTTTCATGTATGTTTGTTAAGTCCCCCGCGACACAGGATTTATTCCTAGTGCGGGAGTTGTCCTTTAAAAAAAAAAAAAAAAAAATAACTTTTGATTTGGTTCGTGTTAACCTCGTTGATAATTTGAATGTCAATTTAAAATGTTAAAGAAGGGATTCTTTCCAGAAAGTTCACAAACAGAGCATATATAAGTCCGGCTTTCAGCCACAGGGGACACTCTGCTAATTCTTGTCTTCCGATCTTAAATAGTATTTTGTTTGTCTGGTAATTTCATTGTAGTATTTTTTTAATATTTTCTTTGTTCTAAGTACCCACGCCAGTGGTAAGTTGTTCTTAATTTTCTTGTAGTCATTTGTTTCTGGAACCTGAACGATTATATGAGTGCTAATCCATTCGTAGGGCTCCAGATTTCGGGTCAAGACAATCAGTCTCAGACGGCGTGCTATTTTCGTTTGTGGCCTTCTGGTGCGAAATCGAATTTCTCAGTACCCTCTGGTAAACTGGCAGTCACGCGGCTCACCAAGCAAGCGGACAGCCTTATTCAAGGGTTACGTACTTCTTGTTAATGTTATTAATATAAATATTGAACCTTCCATTATACCTAATATAAATAGCCGACTCGGGCGGGTGTGGAAGTGACCTGCTGGATTGATGACAAGGAGGCTCCGAGCAGCATCAGCTTGGCCTTGACGCGCGCCGCTGCGGGATTTTTTTAGATACCCACTATTTTATGTTTTTTTATTATTTTAACTCTGAATTAATTGGAAATATACATGTATGTATGACTGAGGTGTAAGTTGTCTTTCTCTAAGGAGTCCCTTGAGTTTCCCACACGCACACACTTCTGTTTTCGACAAGGCGCCCTGAGGTAATCTCGTGAATCTCTCCGCTGGGTAAGCCGGTGAGTAGTCCGCCGGACACGAAAAGCGGCTACAAATTATACACTTTAATATCTATTTTATCCCAAAAACCTATATTTTAAAGAAAAAGCAATATTTACATTACGTATTTTGTATTAAAAAAAACCAGTTTAAATTTCCCTTGAAAACGCCGAATAGTGTCATGGCGTCTTGAATGACGTCACAGTCTGCGAAACAAAACTGTTTATATCTGCGTTCAGTGTCAACTGAAACTATATTAAGGTGAGAAAATATGCTAAAAACGAAAAACAATAAGGAGTAACCTGCTTTGTTGTATGAAAACAACAACAATGATGTTTTGCGTGGCGTGACCTAACACTTTGATTGGTGTTCGCTGTCACGTGACTTAATGCCTATTTTGATTGAAAAAAATAATATTAATAATCTTTAACTTTTATGAGAAACAGACTGTTTTTTTCTTATCTATGTCTCTTCATTTATAATTTCAAACTATAAACCAAGCAATTTGTTATTAGTGGACACAAGCCTATTATTTTCTTTGCGTTTTTTTCATATCTACCTGAAATAAAAATAAGTTACGATTTTAATGAGTACTAACATTTGTGTTCGATTTTAATTCGTGAAAAAATACAAAATCACATATCACTAGTAAATATCACTAATTCCTCTAAATTTTGCTCGAGGAATATAAATAAGCTGTCGCTTTGAATATTCTGGTAGCAATGAAGTTTTTGCGCGCGTATAAGATAATTTATTGCACCTTTTTGGTCCGAATTAGTAAAGATATTTAAAGGTCAATCTATACTTTTTTCTCGCGATTAAAAAAAAACTGCACGGATGGCGTAGTGGTTTAAGCGGTCGCCACGCCGCTTCCTACTACGCCGAGTGTTGTGGGTTCAAACCCCACATGGGACGACACTTTGTGTGATCCACAAATTGTTGTTCTGAGTCTGGATGTTCTTTGTGTCCGTTTCATGTATGTTTGTAAAGTCCCCCGCGACACAGGATTTATTCCTAATGCGGGCGTTCTTTTAAAAAAAAAAACAGAAAAAAAAACTATTTTCAAATAGAACAACGAAAGAAGACATTTAAAATAGCAAAGGACGATTTCAATGATTTTGATCAATGTTGAGTTTTTTTTTATTAGTTAAAAGAGTTTATTAGTTTAAAGTTGCACGCGGTAAAAGTATAGACTCATCAACAAGCAACTGAGATTTTTTTATAGTTTCAATCTAATGAAGTATTCTTTTTTTTTTCTATATTAAGTGCTTATTCGCGCGTTTCTTAGGGACGTGCCTCTTAATTTTCCCTGGTGAGTTTACAGCAGTCATCAATTACATTGAGGTAGTCCTGAAGTTGTAAGGGTGAAAGATACCGAGCCTGTGTTAATGCTGATCAGCTAAGTGTATTACTAACGACTTTAGAAACCAACAACTGTAAAGATAAAGTAAAAGTCTCAAATAGTATACAGAAGACTTTATTTAACGTGAAATCAAACATGCAAGTACATTTTTAGAATTTTATTACATTTTATTTATTCAGAAAGTAGGTGCTCTTTTGATATGCTGGTGTGAACGAATTAAAATAATAACGACTACATGTACTACTTATAACTTAATTCTAAAAGCACGTTAAACAACAGATGTTTCATTTGAATTTGGGACGGATTTTCATTGTGTAAAATGCACACTGCACGCTCTTAATTTCATTGGGTCCAAACAATTTTATATAATAAAAGAAATAAGTCTAAATAATCGTTAATAATCGTATAAAACAGACTATAATATTTGTTGTTACTATTACCGAAGACTAAGTGAGATACTTAATTTGCAGTGTGAACCAAATTCGAAGACCATTGGTGTACATATAACTTTTTATGTTCTCGTGTTTCCAGGAGATTTACTTAATGTTTCTATATATTGGCATACAAAATTAAAATATTATGTAGGTATCGTATTTAGTTATTCAATCTTAAATATACTGCTAATCCAGTTTAAGGTCTATTCTAACACTTTTGCTGGGGAATCTAGGCAAAATGCTCTGTAGTATGACAATATATTGGACACATAATATTCCTATTACAGCAGCGGTACATAACTAACAAATGAATAGCATGAAATCCCATTGATCATTGTATATTTAAGAAAAAGCATATTTAACAAACTGTCTAGATAGATTTTCATAATCTAGCGTGCGAGAGAGAATGAGTATTAACTGTTTGTACGTGAAAAAAGATACAAGATATAACTCTTATTGCAATAGACAAGACGCATGAGCTATCTTTAGTTTAGCCCGCCAAACTAATTCGGTTGTTTCTGAACGAGAACATTTGGTTCGTAATTTTTATGATTTTTTTTAAATCTGCGCATTTGATAAAGATCATACCTATCACACTCAATGCTTCATAGTCCTTTACAACTCGTCCCGATGGTAGACAAATTCATAGAATTTTCTGATTAAACATCATATGCTCCAATGGTCTTAGATTAAGAAAAATACGTAGTTAGTGCATTTTTTTCCATTTAAGTATTTATTATATTCTACTTATAAAAACTAAAATCGGCCGTTTTCTTAATTTAGTAAAATTCATTCCAGTTTCAAAGAATACTAATTCGATTAGCAATAATATCACTAAAGAATGGAGTTGCCAAGGCATCTAAAATCACAGAACGCTATTTTGGGAGAAAAAGCTATAAATAAATTAAAAAAAAAAAACAAAATAAGTACCAGTGATGGTTAAGAACATTATAAACTTTATGTAGAATACACAATAACTGCGCCATCGGCGAGGGAAAAGCATAAAGTAAACAATTCCTGCGTAAACCGGCGTAATACTAAAAAGAACTATTTATCTAAAACATTAGCCAACATAACAATGATACAGTAGTAAAGCATGTTTAGCAATGTTGATTCCCTTTGTCGTACTTTTGAAATTTCTCAGTTTACAGATATAAAAAGTTACTTATTCCCGAGAGAGTACCAAGTGATCACAGATTTTGAAATTCCGTTCAATTATTAGTACAAAAGTAACCAACGTTCTGAAACGGATTCACCTAATATCTACTATATATGAAAGCTGATGCATGCTCAAATACTTTCTCAGTTCTAGAGGCTTCAACTGTTCTCATTTTATGTACAGTCATGATAAATTTTAAGTCTCTAATATTTCACTAATTGTATACACAAAACAATTTTATGAGCATGTACCCGTTTTCATTTCCTATACTATTACGTAGATATGCTATCATAATTATTATCTATTTGCTAATTATGTTTGTGAGCCAGTACTTTTTTGAATAAAATTACAAATGCATAATTGCTTTGGCAAATACAAAGTCGCTTATAACGCACAACCTCACTAATGACCACGCGTCGTATGGTCAAACCGTAAATAAATAAAATTTGAAACTCAACAACTAAAGTACTGGCGTTCAAACATTGGAGGTGAAACTACTGACAGTTGGTGTGTGAAATACATTCTTTTATAGTTTTTAAATAAAAGAAATATCCCCTATTGTCACGATTTAGCCCCCTTTACAAGTTATTGTATCTTTGAACACATAACTGTGAGTAGTGAGCGCAGGTGCCATTTCTTGATAAAACAAAAAGACCCTGTTACATAATATGTATATATATATATATGTGTGTGTGTGTGAATATATATATGTATTATAAGGCTACGTGTGTTAAGCTTAACTAGACCTAAGTTTACACACTCATACTTATATAGCGAGTAGAATAAATACATTAAAACATAAAAAAGCTAAGTTAATAACTATACCGCTACCAAAGCAGTTTATTTTAAGTTTCGATTTTGACATCCTATTATGCAAAAATGAGTCCTGTTCCTAAGCCCGTAAGCTTACTGACCAAAACAGGAGTAAAACCAAATTTAAATCAGCGTTTAGCATATATTAAAAACATATTTTCGCTAACAAGCGACGTTTAAATCAATGTGAACTTAACATCTAAACAAATAAGGGATAAAAATAATTCGTTAACATATTCTGGTATTGGGAATCACGTTAGGAAGTTAGTTATACTGTTTTTAACCTATGTACCGTCATGTAATTTACGCAACTTTAACTTAAATATAAAACAACACGCTCCAAAAATTATCCATAAGCAGAGATCCAAAATCAGGGTTAATGGGAACAGTTTGATATATTAAACCGTCCTATAACTACCTCATAAGCGATTAAAAACAAAATTAACATTAAAAAACATGCAAATATAAAATTAAGATCTCTAGGTAATCAGAACTACATTCGGATTTCTGAGAAATATCATTTCCGTATACAACACTTTGTATTAAGTTCGGAACACATTTTGGTAAGAAAGAAAAATGATTTTAAATACTGAGGTAAAAGGTCGTTTCGTATGAGATATGACCTAAAGAGCAATTCTCGTGATGGTAATAGTCAAATATTATTAAAATGTATTTTTAGTCTAGTCTCATAGCTTAATCCCTATAAATAGTCCAAATATCAAACCTTGTTCTAAAATTTTATTTTTATATTGTTTTCTTTTTTTAGTTAACTTTTAAAGATCCATAAAATTCTTGCTATTGTCACTAGCAATAAGAAATTTTTATCAGTTTTTTTATTTTATCAGTAGAAAAATAATTTAAATATAGTCTTAAAAATAAGACACAAATAGTAACATTTTTAGTAGACGACCTTGTGTTTAACGTGATTAAGTTAAGACAGGAATTTGACTAGAATTATAGCTTTGCTGTAGACGAGAATTGGCTCTCAGGTATAAATTGACAGACTGCTGCGAAGCGACGTTGAGTGGACATCACATGCCCTATTCACTTAAATTGGCCGAGTACGAACGCATCCATAACTTTAGGCACGTACTCGTCGATTCCGATTATATCGAGCACTCCCTCGTGATGGCCATTAGTGGTTCCGACGCGATGAGAAGCAAGATTCATGACGATCAATCTATAAAAAATATGATAATAGAATCAGTTACATATCACATACATACGTACACATAAAACTAATATTTTAACAACGGTATTTCATGCATAAACCGTTGAGTATTAATATTCAAATGACCCGTTATGGAGGATTGGCTCGAGAGGCGTCAAGGAACAAGAGCTCCACACGTTGGCAGAACGGTTGGTTGGAGCAGAGGCGTGAGAGGCGTGACCCAGATGGCCACGTGGGAGTTGGTAATAGGATTGCCGCCAAAATGCGGAGCGAGAGTGCGTGTAACTCCGCGTCTCCTACTGCGAGCAAGTTATGCTTGCGAAGGAGATTTTTTTTTTTCAGCCTAGCAAGAGCAGGCCGAGGCGTCCTTTCGGGAGCACAAAGGTAACATGGGGATTCCCACACAAGAGGGGTCATCTACACGCCATGGATGGCCCGAGGTACGTCGGAGTACCAGGGATTTCCTTTCTAGGGTACACCTGGTTTCCCGAGTTTTACCACTGGTACCCGAGACGGCATGCGGTTTTTGGTCGGTGCGAGTCCGACATAATAACCCCACCGGTGGGTGATATTCGAGGGGATTTCTGCACATGAAAAAAAAGGGGGCAAACGAGTTAACGAGTCACCTGATGTTACTTACGTAACTACCCGCCCATGGACACCTGCGGCTCAAGAATCACAAATGCGTTGCCGCCCTTTGGGTCCTAGTTCAGAATCAGAGGCCTCACTATATAAACGTTAAAGAATTGCTTAACATCGGTTAACTGTGAGGCCGTGGTATCAGTCCGGTCGAGCCCGCCCATTTATACTCGTACTTGGCTCTCCCAAGTACAAACCGTATATACCGTAAAACGCGAAAACTTCCGATGGCTTCGAAACCTTCATGACATGAATACGTTACCGGTTTGAATATTTTTAAAAGGTACTTTATAATCTTTAGAATCAAAAGGAATGATCGCAGAACGTGTTAAAACACTCACTTGGCATCCTTTATCCCGCTTTGTTTCCGGTAGGCGTAGAGCGCCCGCACGGGGCAGTGGTCGGAGACGTCGACCTGAGCCGCGGGCGGCGGCCCGTAGCGCCCGCCCAGCCCGCGCCCGGCGCGCGCGTTCTTGTCCAGCTCCATGTAGCGAGTGCTGCGGTCCACCATGTCAATGAACACGTCGAACTTCAGAGAAGCTTTCATGGCCATCTGTATAGGGGCGTCCAGTTGTACGCGGCCCAAGTTTGCTTTCTGAAAATAAAACGATCGTTGTATATATAAAAAAAAAAAAAAAAAAAAAAAAAAAATATAGGCTATAAGCTATAAGCTATAAAAATATTAGGCTATAAGCTAGTTCGCCCGTGTGAAATTTGATATGAAAATATTTAGTTTTTTTTAAATAGCCACCGGGTCAACCGTTTCGAAGATTCGCCGGAACAAACAGACAGACAAAAAACTTAGGGACATTACAAACAGACACTTCCATATTATTTATGGGTAATATATTAGATAGAAATAACGCGAATTTTACATGATGGTGTTCTGTCGCCTCTTCTCACGGACATCCAAGTGCCAAGACTGAGCATTTTTTTATTACGATGTATAAAAAAGAACTAAGAGAAAAAGACCATTGAATTTAATTACATTTTATAATCAATGTACGATCAATTATAATATCAATAGTACGATTTCATTTGAAATCGTACTATTGATATTAGTATTTACTATTTACTAATTACCACTAGACTTTATATAAAATATGCTGTTAGTTTAGTAAGTACATTTTTGGGACAAAGTTATGTCCCAAAAATTAATGGACTTAAAACACTCATGTCCCTTTGCATGACTTATATGGTGAGACATAAAAATTGAACTTCTAGGGGACTGAAACTTCTTGTAACATTTCATATAACATAATTAACCACATATCGCATGGTTTTGGAATCCTTACGATTCTAAATCATTCGAAATATTACTAATTTAATCGTTTAAGCAAATTTAATGAAAATAAACTATATAATGTAATTATGGTCCATACCCGCAGAACGAATTCGGCTTCTTCGATGTTGCTAAAGTTAGGTTCGATAGAGACGAGCTGCACACCTTCTTCGGTAAACACCGCTAAGCTAACCTGCTTTTCCCTTTTCAAAATTTGTAGGGCCAGGATTATAGCTGAAAAAAAGTTTTGACATAAATCTCGGCAGTTTTTATTGTAAGATATAACATCAGGACCACTTATTATAGTCAAAACAATTTAAGAAGTTCTGTTACTGAGAACTTAACTTTGCATGATTTGAATAAAACATAAAACAAATTTAATTAAAGTTGAACAATATTTACAAAAGTTAGAATATACAATACTCAGATGAAGGAATGTAATGTGCAACAATGGCGTGATGTTTTATTTCTACGAGACGACCCACAACAGTTACATTCTATCACTCCTTAAATTTTTCTTAAAGGTAAGATCATCAGCAATCTTCATAAATGGTCTGTGTATTGAATCAAAGGGCTTGATATCGAGGTCCTTTGCCATTTGTGCATCCAGGTACTCAAGTAGTTTTAATTACTAGCCTACCTAGCAGTGTTTCCTTAATAAAAGTATGATTTTATTTTAAAAACACTCAGATATCTGTCTAGGGTGTATGTGGATGATACTAAATCATTAAAGATTTTGCTATGTGTAGACCTAGGGCCGTAAGACTCCTAGTTTAATGTGAATAAACTCATAAACTTAATTGTTAAAAAATCATGTTTTAATACCTGCATGTCCAGGTGTAACGTTCTTGTTGTAGAAACATTCAGCCAAAAGATGCTTCCTGCTCTTCTTTTCAGTATCAGCGTCGCCGCCGCCGCTAGGAGTGGTCTTTGTAGCGGTTTTCTTACTCTTTTTTGCCACAACAAAATTCTTGCAGAAATGACGACCTATAAAAGAATTATTAATAGATATGAAGTAAAATTTGGAAAGAATCTTATAAATCTAAATCTTTGAAAGCATCATATTGGAATATATCGTCATATTGAAATCTTTTAGCTGGTAAGTGTATTTGATAGTCTCCTTTTAAATATATAAAATAAATGCTTAATGCAAACCAATTTCAAAAAACATTTGTTTTATTGACCAGTATTTGCCCCATTAAAACCCTGTATGTAGTAGTCTTTTTCTTTAATAGTCATTATTATCATGACTAAATTATGTCAGTATAACTCAGTGTGATAAAAATGTTGTCTTAAGAATATTTTGCAGTTTAAAAATAAACCAAGTACCTTTAAACATATGGTGTCTCATGTCCATAGTAATCAAGTAACGTGCGTTAGTAGGTGGAGTCAGAAGCCAAGTTTGATCAATCAGATTGTTTAGAGCTGCCAGCACGGCGGGATTAGGCGGTAGATCAATTCCTAAATAAAAAAAAAATACCATTAAGCGTAATACTTAAACACTAGTGGTGTAGTAGTGAGGGGATTTGGTTTCTCATGCTGATCAATGCCACTTTAACTCTTCGAGAACGATATTTGACAGCATCTTGTACTTTGAGTCACATCCATCAACATCAACAGCCTTAATTTGTCCACTGCTGGACATAGGCCTCTCCTTAGAAAGGAGGTTTTGGATTACTATACCACGCTGGCCAGGCGGGTTGGTATAGGGTTTGTGTCAAGTTTTCCTTCTTTTTGCAGTGCTGGTGTCCTGTTGTTTTTCGCCCTTAGTCGGCTCTTACGACACCCACTTGATGAATTGGGGTAGTGACATTCCGTATTCTTAATCCGTCACTACACGGACACCGAATGTACTTGAGTAGACCTGGAATATTTATAAAATACTATAATAGGTTCTGCTCGCGGAACCGCCCGCGTGTATGTCGGTTTTAAATTGGTTTAGTGGTTTAAGCTTGAAAGCCTAACGAACCTTTTACATTTATAATAAAAGCATGGAAGTATCGTAAGACACAAATTTTATGAACTGCACAATACGTTAGGTATACTTACCCCAGTTTTTGATTTCTTTTGGGTGTCGCCTATTGGTAATCCACACCCATTGGTCATTTTTGTTGTCAAAAATCTGGCGCGTGCGACGTCTCTGCTCCTTTTCTGCGACCACTTTAGCTTTCTCGAATTTCATTGGCCTGGCAATAGTCGTTTAATTAATAAGGCAATATAAAATTTAATTAAACAGTTACAGAAATATGTAAATTGAACTTAATTAAAACGAGAACTGAATAACATGTGTGAAATAGATAGTTTTACTTTTCTGTTCGTGTTTGTCACGGATAACCAATCATTAAAACTATTCAACCAGTTAGGCATTGAACAAATAAAACACCTTTGTATGAATTACAAACGAATTAAAAGCCTTACAGACAACAATTTTGACATAAGACTTCTCAATTACCCCAATTTTTATTCATTTGTATCAAAAGACGAATAATGTGTAACGTGAATAGTCCATACAAAGATTCACTGCAATAGCTGGCTAACCTTGTTAAAATTAGGTCACGGTTATCCCAGCCCTTAGCTGTTTACAAATAAGTCGACCTATACAAACGGCGACGTAAAAAGAACATAACGATTTATAACGCGCCAAATCAAAGGTGATGTTGATCAAAAGAATCGTCAGTTGTCGGTTCGTATTTAGATGGGAGTTTCTAATTTCCAAAACAGGTAAAAGGTTTTACTGCTACTTAGCATAGCATATTAATGCTTTTTTGTATATATTTGACTGAAAAAATTCTCATTTTTCACGCGTAGAAAGATAAAAATAATTTGTTATTCAACACAGTGTTGTACCTGTATCTATGCCATTATGAAGCAGTTTCTATATACGAAACGGTTTTTAATATGGATCAGTGTCGTATTTAGAAAGCTATATTCTCTTAAATTGTTGAATGTAGTTGTTATCAACCACTAGATAAGCTTCTGTCAAGGGTAAACTCCTATATTTTTTTTATGAAGAATGGTTTTATACGACTAATGGCTTCTGGCGATTGCTATCCATAACATTTGAGTGTGAGTAGAGTAAACCGGTTTTTGTTGGTTTTCACGAACAAAAGAATAATCTTGGGTGGTTAGTACAACAATGGCCGAACATCAAGATTACGACACAATGAAACACTCACTTGGTCTTTTTCTTATAGTTGCACATTGCAATGTAGACTGCAAGCGGGGTAACCTTTGACTTCTTGATGACGTCTTGGTTACTGAGCAGGGACACCAGTACTGCAGTGGTTGGCGAGTCATTGGTCAAAAAGCCCATGTTGTGGATGCGCTGAATGTGGAACAGCAGTTCTTCTAAGGTTAACTGTGGTAGTACTGCAGTCCATACCTACGATTGTAATAATAATATAAGTAAAGATTTATTAACACAAAAATTACAAATAGATGACCTTTATTTTTTTTTATTTCATTGAGTTTATCCAGTTATGTTATCATTTTAAAACCTAATTAAATTATTTATACTTTGTTGAACATGATTAATTAACAAACAATTTTGGTAAAGTAAATTCCTCATAATTGTTGTAGTAAATCCACCTACAGAAGAATATGGTGAGAAAGCATTGTGCGATGTTATCTGCAAACTTAAACTCAAAATATCTTTAATTTGTAAAAAAAAATTGCTTAAAATCTTCTCTTGTGTAGACCCTTAAGTCACAGATCAACACACAAATAGCAACAATCTCTGTTTTGTCAAATATTAAGCAAAATAAATATATACGTATCGAAAATCTATTATATGGCTATGCCGATCTACAACCGCAGGTTTCCAAGGGGTTGAGCCTTACGAGTATGAGAAGAAAGAGCAAACAAATTCACGGCTAATGTAAAGGGTAACCGAAAAAGGAAATAATCAATTTACGCTACGCTTACCACTGGGATAGTCGAATATATATTTAAACTGTTTAAATTTTAGACAGTACGGAGGAACTAGGTTGTTTCAAGTATAGGCTTACAGTTTGTGATGTCAACAAGTGCCCAGGCACATGGTCAAGAGTAAACTGATTAGCAGTCACAAGAGCAGCGGCAGCTACGGGATCCTCACAATGTCGTATATCTTCCACCTTCGAAATGTGCTCAAATATCTCCTTGCATTCTGGTTTGTCACCTAGAATCTGTTTCGCACGTTTAAGTCCAAAGATGGCATACTTCACGACTGCGTCCCGAGCTGTGATAAAAAATTATATGAATAGTGATTTCTTTAAAAAGTAATCAGTATGGTGTATAAATATTACGATATCAATTCTGGCAATTGAGAAAAAAAATCATTACTAGTTACTGTTAGATGCAAAACTTTTTTTTTTATTACAACTTTTAATTAAAATTGTTTTAAGTAAATTTAATGTTGGTTGGATGATTTTGCGTTTTTTAAATAAAAAATTATAGAAAAAGAAGTTAATGCTTACTTCTAGAAGTATTAAATACACTGACAGTTTAAATTTTACTTAAACGTATTAATACGTATTAACTTGTTTCAATGAGTTAATAAAGGTGACTACATGTTATTAACAGTGTATTTTATTGTGGTATTTATTTATTTTTTCTAGAACCACTGAAACCAAACTAGCTGCAATATTCACCATAATCGTTTTCGGGTATTTTCATATGAGATTTGCGTAGAAGAGTTTTATGCGAGCGTCCATGACGCGCCCGTACTCTAGTCATCTCCTTGGCAAGTTCCATCGGATCTTTTGATGTGTACCAGTCCTTGACACTCTTACACCATCCTCGGCCATTTCCTATGAAGAAGAAATATGTGTTTAATAATAAACTATTGTCTTCTTTATTTAGGAACATAATTTATTTAGTTCGTTTTTCTAAAAATAAATAGCCATTGTTTTGCCAAGAGGTCTAAAGTCAGAAACATCAAAGCTTTTAGCATTTTTTTCGGTATATGTTTCAGCTCATGTTATATCTTTAACTTTATACATACAACTCATTATTATTAGTAGGTAATAATTAGATATATATAAAATATACACATATATATACACGCGGCTGGTCATTGTAGCGGATGGAGGGGAAAACCCGTCCCGACCACCTCACTCAGGGCGGCGAATTGGTTCCGAGTGGAGGTCATCCTAGTGAGAGATCCTTTCTGATGACTGTAATGACAACCCGACGCTGCAACGCCCAAGTCGGGCAATTCGCCAGCGTGTGCTGAGCCGAATCCTCACTGCAAGCGCAGTGGTGATAGGCGGTACTCAACTCTCTCCTACCGACCGAGTGCAGGTACATATCGAAGCCTCCGTTGACACGTTGCGGTAACAGCGAATGGCTCTAACCGCCAATATCCTTTGAGGGCGCCAGAGGCGTGCCCTATTTTGGGCGGTCAGAGCCACCGACCACACCTGTGAACCGTACAGTGCCATTGCCCTAGAGCAGACGCAACGACGAACAGTTGAGGCACAAATACTTCTTTGGGCCTGAACTGGTACGAGGACAGAGTGGACCACGATAGAGGCGCGGGGGGAAGGGCCGAAGGAGGGTATACCACGACGGGGACCACCGACCCCCGGGCTGTAACTAAAGTATCGTCGGCATAACAAATTACGCCCAGCCAGAGGGGCAAACTTCTAAATTCATCTCGATCCTCGCACATGAGGGTACGTTCATAGTCTGCCACTAGCCGCCTCAGGTACTATGGCATGCCGTGATATGATGATGATCTTGATGATAGTTGAGTAGTCGAAAATCAACATAAATTCCGAATGCTCTACTAGTTGAGCAGTAGGGCTAGAGGATTTTTTTTACTTATCGTATGCTGTTTATTGTGGCTGATTATATTTTGCATAAAAATATGTCCAAGTCTGCTTTGTTTGCCTGTCCAGAATTCTTTTACACACTACCAAGCTTGTAAATGGCATCTAAGCTTTTGTAAAGGCATGGAGCTTGTAGAAATTTGGCAAGCGTGTAAACTATGCATAAAGATCGAGATTAGAAACCTAGTTACAAAAAGGGCAAGTACAAGTGCTTATTGGCTATGTTACTATTTAAAAAAAAGGTCCAAGTTTAATTTATGCTTTCACGGCTTAACTGCTAACCCGATTTTAATGAATTTTGGCAAAGGGATACTTTAATAAGGAAGGACAGACAAAGGCTACCTTTAATCACGATAACCGACATATACGCTGGCGGAACCACGTTCAAAAGCTAGTATAAATATTTAGGTAACAAAAATATCAGTTGTAGTTGAACAGTACAAATCTCGTAACCATTCATCATATAGTGAGGCGTACTAGGTGTACTAGGTGTACAGGATCTGCTGGTCTTCTAAGAAACTAGCACCCTTAAACATAACTTCAGCACTTGTTAAACGGTTGACCACATTTCACATACATATATTCATCACTACTATGTTGGCGGCTTTCAAAAGGAATTATTTTGCCCCGTTTCCTGTTCCTTCGTTAATAAATAAGCTATCCGACACTAAAATAATTTTTCAATTCAAACCACTAGTTGCTGAGATTAGCATGTTCAACCAAACGAACTCTTTAACTTAATAATTTTAGTATAGGATAAATCTCATCACTTTCATAATTATTATTACTGTTATTACTTATGTTTCAACTGTGATTGATTTTGTTTCACTTGTAGGGTAGTTTGTTTTTTTTTGCACAATGGTGGACTTAATGCCACATGCATTTTCTCCTAGTCTACCTTTGGATGGTGGGTAAATGTCTGAATAGGTACATTTGATATTAAGTTTTTTTAAGAGAATTATAATTGAGAGGATGGACAGAAACAGTGGAACAGATATACATACATAAACAAACACAAATAATTTCTAAAACTTTAAGGATGTGATGAATCTGCTAGGGTGTCTAAAATGTAAGCTCAAAATGTCAACTTGAATGAGAAGCGGCTGGGTGTTTTCCTGATTTTTTAGATCCAAAAAATATAAAAATTAAAATGACTACCTGTTTATTGCACTTAACATAAGCACCCTATGTTCACTGTAGAAGCAAATTATATTTACATTTCAGAATAAATATACACTGCCAGCCAAAATTTTAAAACCACATTTAAACAACATAATTATCTATCAATTGTAACGAAATCCCATAAGAAAAATAAAAGAAATGTACACCTGCATATTCTATTGTTAATATCGAATATCTAAAGAAGTCATTCTTTGATTTACTTTCAAGTTATTGGACAATAAACATGTATTGTTTTCAAACACCGACAAACGCTGCCTTAGACCCAGATGGTAGAGTCCCAATAATATTTTGATGATGTGCTAGTAACTAATTGCTTTAATTTCATTTACATTGGTCAATAATTAGGATTATTTAGCTTCTAAAAACACGTGTTTCCGACTTATTATTACCTTTTTTTCTTCCGTGCGGAAATCCCCTCGGATACCACCTATGGCATGTCGGACTCGAACCGACTAAAACCGCACGCCGTCTCGGGTACTAATAGCCGGGGAACCAGGTATACCCTAGAAAGGAAGTCCCTGGTGGCCCGACTTCCCGACCCGCTTCTGCTAGGATGACAGATGGCCTCACCTGTCACCCCCAGGCCTGCGCTTATGGAGGACGGAGGTCGTTCTGCGACCTCCGGCGCCTGAGTCGCTTGCGGTACCTGGCCCGTTCCCGGGCCTGGCGGGCCGGGAGAGTTCTAAACCTCTCTCGGTCCCGCTCCGCCGTCTCCTTCGCGAGCATAACTTGCTCGCAGAAGGAGACGGCTGAGTTCCACGCACTCTCGCTCCGCACGATAGCCGCAATCAGGCTATCGAGCGAGAGAACTCCCACTCCGATGGCCGCCATGAGGTCTCGCCTTTGCTCAACCCACGCCGGGCACTCTGCCAGTGTGTGGAGAGCCATGTCCACGGTCTGGCCATCGCAGTGGTGGCACTCAGGCATTGGCTCCTTGCGGATCAGACACAGGTGATCCCCGAAACATCCTTTCCCAGTGATCACCTGCGTCAGTCGGTATGAGAGGGTCCCGTGACGCCTCTCGAGCCAATCCTCCATGACTTATTATTACCTGAGTTTACTTGGGTTTGTTTACAAACATTCTTAATTAGTCTAAACTTGTGATTTCTACAGTGAAAACATCTTAAAATGGGAAAAGCACGCGAAATTAGTAGTGAAGTGCGTTCTGACATCGTTGTTTTACATAATTTAGGCAAATCCGAACGTGAGATTGTTTTACAATTGAAGTTATTGAAGACTTGTGTTCATGGCACAATAACTTGATACAGGAAGACAGGCAGTTTGCTCGGGAAGCCCCCGAGAGCTACCACGTCAGGTGAAGATCATTTCATTGTTGTTACCAGCAAGCGAAATAGACGCTTAACAGCACCAGAAATCCACGTTGAAGTAAACAAGACCCGAGTTAAACCTTTATCACTGACTACAGTAAAGTCTGCTAAGGCCACAAAACAAGAAAAAACAGATGCAGTGGGCCCTTGCCATCGAGACTGGACTGAAGAAGGTTTTAAAGAAGTTCTTAGGACCAATGAATCTAAATTTGAGCTATTCGGTTCAAAACAAAGAATTTACGTTCGACTCGGTGCCCAAGAAAAGATGATGCCAGACAGTGTTTTCTCAACAATCATGGATGGTGGTGGCTCAATTATGGTCTGGGGTTACTTTAGTTTTTAGCCAAGGAACTGGCTAATTGATAAAAATTGACAGAATTATGAAGGAACAGTACAAAAAAATTTAGAACAAAATGCCATTCCTTCGGGGTTGTGATTAATTGGAGATGAATTAATTTTCCAACAGGACAATGATCCTAAGCATAGCTCAAAATTATGCACAGGATATTTGGAAGAGAAAGAGGCACAAGGGGTGTTAACACACACAACAAGAAAACATGGTTTGGCCTCCTCAAAGCCGGATCTCAATCCCATTGAACTGTTGTGGGAAGAGCTTGATAGAAACGTCCGTAATTGTGCTCCATCCTCGCAAGTTGAAATGTGGAATGCTTTATGCGAAAGTTGGAGCAATATATCACAAGACGCTATCACAGATTGATTGCCCGTATGAATTGTGAAAAAAGTCATAGAATGTAAAGGAGAATTTTTTGATGGAAGATCAGTTTAGCTCACTATAGCCTTTTTAGCATGGACTGTTAATATTTCTTTACACTTTTCAAGTATATTGATTGTCAAAAAGTGTTTTATTGAATGATTTAACAGTTTAATTAAACATTCAATATTTATATATAATATATTGGAGTTTTATTTAATTTTCCTACTTTAATTTAATTTACTTTTGGCCTGCAGTGTAATTAAAAAATAAGTAATGTTAACTACAGCATAAATAATTTACCTACTTGTGGGTAGTATGACAATATTTTTATTGTATGAGCATCCATCTTTTTGAAAATTTAAAAACTGATACACAGTGGAAATAATATTAAAAAAACTTTGGACACTACATAAATATTACCTGTTTTTAATAGCCTTGTGAACTTGTGAAAAAGCATCATCTGTTCAGGAGTGACACATATTTCAACCGCTGCTTTGTATGCTGCTTCTTTGACAACAGTATTGCCCACCATGAGACATTTAGCCAGTGCAAAGGCTATAGTCTCAAAGCGAGTGTACCAACCATCTTTACCAGCCTGAAAAATTATAAATATGTTGAATCAAAACTAATTATAACATTATAGAAAATGTTATGAATTTATAATAAAACAATCACATCATGATAACTGTACTCTATGAATTTAATTAACAACTTAATTATACTCTTTTTTAATTAAAATAAAATGGTGTACAAAATGAATAAACATACCTGCACAATAATGTTGACTACTTCAACATTACTAACACCACCACGGAGAATCTCATCAATTACGGGCAATCTATCGGCTTCAAAATACTTATGAGATGTCCAACATCCAGGGTAATACTTAGGGAGTTCATTTCCAGTATGTAGATAACGTTTCAGTCTGTTGCAGAGTTTGGGACTAATTGCAGGCGGCGCTGTCATTTTCGTTGATAATAGTTTCTGTTTTACAAAATATTAACGTGATTCAAAAAGCAAAATGTTGCATATACAATGCAAGTTTTTGTTGTGTCGTATTAGCATTCAGCTTTCTACTAATAGTTTTCGTCGTAGCGTAAACCTGTGAACAAAGCCAAAAGCAAAGGTAAATGCACTGAAAGTCGAAACTATTAATTTTTTGTAGGTATTCGAGCAAAACATGTGCCACAATAAAATGAGGATGTGGCTAGAAAAAAATTGACAACCGAATCTAAATCTATCATAAAAATGGAATATACAAGAAGTGATTGCAATAAAACAATAATTATATATGCTGGAAAAGTGTTTCAAATATTTTATTGCTTGGCTGTAACGAAATATCAATAAACTCTTTGCAATGTTTTACTAATGATTTGATTTCAACACATACCTCGTTCGTTCTCGTTCGCTTTTCTGTCGAAGTTGACAAGTCATTGACATGTTGTCTTGTTTCTTTTCAAGAACAACTAGTAGTTTGGAACCAAGTTCTTTGAGATTCAAAATATTTTATACCATTTGATCTTTATGGTGTGGGTATGGGGTATGGTGTCGGGTGGTTCAAAAAACAAAATCCTGTTGCCGAAACCGGATCTTAATGAAACCAATTGGAATCGGTAGGTATTAACTTTAAGTAAACAACACCGCAAACAATTAAAACAGAATAAAAACACGTTTAAAATAAATCAACAAAGAATATCCCATATTTCCATTACGTCATATTAAGACACAACAAGATCTTTTTAATGCAAGAAATTCCATTGCAAGATGATTACAAGAGCTAGATCATGAGCACTTTTAACATTCCCGGACTCGTCACTTCGCTTCATCTTGCCGTCCACGGAAGCCACAGCGGCAGTTCCGGCCGTCGCTGAGGCATCGGCCCATCGGTTTTAAATAGGGTCCCCGCTATTGGTGGTAATGTGCGTTGCATGAAATGGACTTCTTCAATGAACGAAAACGTCATGCGAGCATATTTTGTGGCCACAGAGGGAGAAACTAATCTCACTGCGTATCGTAATGGTTTACTAACTCTGTTTTAGGAACTTGAACCAACTGTTAACGTTTCGGTACAAAGATTATCGGATCAAGTGCGAGCTATTAACCGATGTAATTTGTTGGATAGCTCTGTACTTGAAAAGCTACGCTCCGACTTACAGAAAACCCTCACTACTTTTCCTCCTTCACAAGCAGTTGCACATCATGTAACTGCTTGTGAAGCAGTTACATGCTTCACAAGTAGTTAGTGGTAATTCAAAGATCTTGAATTACTACAGGCTTCTCCTGCTGAAGGAGACTAAATTGATGCTTCTTCTGTAAGTACCCAGTACAACGATATAATAAGGAATACTTTGGAAGGTGCTATCCTGAAATATGGGTCTATGAATTTTGTAAATAGACCACGTTTACCTCGTTTGCTGATGCATAAGCGAGATAAAGCGCTAGTGTGTGCCCTTAATTTTATGGTGGTTAAAGTGGCTCCGTATCTTAGATGTACGTTTGGCATCTCATTTTCAATCAAGCCTAGAATCAGGTTAACTTCCATCTTTTATGACTACGGGAGTAACTCATCTACTCTATAAGTCTGGTAGTTCCAAAAAATTATACCACGGACCCCAAAAATTATAGGCCAATAACATGTCTACCGACTTTATATAAATAGGGAATATGCATGTATTTTTTTTATATTTTTAAACGATTCTACTAGTTATTACATTACCAAAAATAAATATAACACATCCGAAATATAAACCGTTAAGCAAATAAAAATTTATTAAAATCACTATTATTTTGGGGCAATTTGAACACGTCTATTTTGGCGCGCTTTTTTTGTGATGTCAGATTACACTTTCAGACGAATTCGATGTCAACAACGGAGTGAAGTTCACAAAGTTTGTGAAAGTTAAAAAAGTGAGTGATAAAAATTAACTTATTACCATGGAAAAGCCAATAAAAACTTATTATAAATATTGTGCTGTTCCTTTGTGCCCAAATCATATTAAAACTGCACCTGACAAAGTATATTCAGTCATTGTGTTGAGTCTTTCTACACGGGAATTTAATAATTTAACACTGAAAACGTATTAGTTATTAACTTAAAATGAAACAAATAATCACCAGAAACCAAATATTACAAATACACACAACTTGTTGACACTCTTGACAGTGTAGGTTGACGTCACGTATTATTCAACCAATTTGCGAGGGAATCTTAAAAAAGCCAATTTTTGATGATTAAATTTCACTATTAAATTATAATAAATTTCAAAAATAATTGTATGGGTATCTTTTTTTAGCAATAAAAATTACAAATAAAAATATTTTGTCCATTTTGGTGTCACGTGCATATTCCCTATTACTAGCGTCTATTCTGAGAGTGAAGATAACATCTCATATTACGAACAACTCTATTATGTCTCACTCTCAAAATGGATGTAGAGGTATAGCACGTGGTACTAAAGAGCTCCTTAATATTGACACGACTGTTAACCAACAAGTTCGCTGTAACCAAAAAGTTCTGGCGACGGTTTCACAAGGCTTTTGAAGGTGCTGGAGTTTTATAAAATTGTTACAACTCTGTGAACTTTCTTGGAGTGAGAGTCCGGGCGGCTAAGCAAGGCAAGGGGCAAGACCCTCGCCCCCGATTAGAGTAGCGAGACATAACCATGACACTCCTTTCAGGATTACAATGTACCAACGGTTGCAAGGAGACACAGTCCCCGTAGCCTGCTCGGTGACAGTGTAAGTGCTCACCGAGCCCGTCCGTGTGGTGACGGATTAAAAATACGAAATGTCACCACCCCTATTCATCCCGTGGGTGTCGTAAGAGCTGACTAGGGGAACAATCTGTACAGGACAACAGCACAGCAAAAAGAAGGAAAACTTGAAACAAACCCTATACCAACCCGTCTGGCCAGTTTGCTATAGTAGGCCAAAACCTCCTTTCTAAGGTCCTAGTCTCCTAGTCCACTACTGGACATAGGCCTCTATGTCCAGTAGTGGACTATTATAGGCTGTCGATGATGATGATGATGATGAGCCCGTCGTCGTTCCTCCACTTTGGACAGTGGAGCAACTATCGGTGACCCATGAAGGGTCCCACCGAGTATCCTTCTTAGTCTGGAGTCTCCCTCTGAGCCGATCCGGCATATGACTCTACACCGGCATAGCCTCAGAGATCACCCACAACAACCACGTGAGGATACAGTTGGGGGGCTCTTGGCTGTCTCCACAGGCTCCGACTGAGGAGGTCGACATGGGGGCTGGTCGCTTTCTGCGTGATGCGATTACGCTGATTTACGATGCGGCCATGACCCGCATCCGAGGTCGTCGGCCTCCAAGGTGGAGGAGGAGGTCTACTGGTAATCCCAGGTGTTGGCGGATCTCCGCGCGACCTGTACTCATGACGTCCTACACCCACAGTCAGCACCGGAAGTTCCGGGTGGTTAGCGGCAGTCGGCTTCCGCCCGAAGAAGTACGCGAGTGGCGCGAAGCTGCTCGTCGATCCACGATGGCTTGTTGGTCACGGCTGGAGGCTCCACGTGCTGGTATTGCCGCCGTGGAGGCGCTCCAGCCGGTCATCGTCGAATGAGCAGGGCGACCGCACGGGACCCTTTCCTTCCGACTAACGCAGCTCCTTTCCGGGCACGGCTGCTTCGGGAAGTACCTGCACTCGGTCGCTAGGAGGGAACTGAGTCCCGCCTGTCACCACTGCGATTGCAGTGTGGACTCGGCTCAGCACACGCTGGCAATTTGCACGGCTTGGGCGCCGCAGTGTCAGGACCTCACTGCAGTCATCGGGGGAGATCTCTCACTACCGGCCGTCATACGCTCGTGATAGTTGTTTTACCGCGGTCGCATCCTTTTGCGAAGAAGTTATCTCCCAGAAGGAAGCGGCGGAGAGGGCCCGGAAGCATAATCTCGAACCCAATTCGCTGCCGACGAACCAGGCGGCGAAGGCGCGCTTACAAGCGCCTCATGCCTGCATGTGGCTGCATGTGGCTGCGGGTGTATGGGACGGGTTTTCCCCTCCACCCTTCATAACGGCTAGTCGCTAGGAAGACGTCCGCTTGTGTTGTGTGTGCTCCTAAATGGAGAATGTACCCGAAGGTGGTGCCCGCGCCGTTGCGGACAGGTGCTATAAGGGGTCCGGATGTCTTAATAACAGCAGTTCCTATTACAGACGCAGAGTGGCACACCGTGTGGTTTTAGTCGGTCCGATTCCGACACACCACCCCGCCGTAAACCTCGGTGGGGTGACGGCCCGAGGGGGTTTCCACACGTAAATGGTGATCTCTTCGGAGAAACTGAAGGTTTTGTTTGTGCGATTATGGACGAAGTTATCATGACAAATAACTATCGGAGATATATCCTGAAAGATGGTACGGTTGACATCTGTCGGGCATGCCACCGTCCTGGGGCATCAATCAGGCATATTATTTCGTCTCGCAAACGGTGAATATTTGCACAGGCACAACCAAGTAGCCAGGATCGTACACCAACAGCTTGCCCGTAAATACCAACTTGTGAATCTAGAGGTTCCACACTACAGTTATATGCCCGACCCAGTTATCGAGAATGGTCGAGCCACGTTGTATTGAGATGCCAATAAGCCAGATATTATGGTGATAGATTGATTAGAGATTGTTGATATCGCCGTTCCTCATGATAAGAATCTCGTGAAAGTTGAAAAAGAAAAACAAATAAAATATTTGGATTTATCTTTCTAGATTGTCGATATGTGGAATGGGCACTCGGCGATCTACTGTATAATTTTAAAATCACTTTACAAATCATAATTATATAAACACGATTTAATTACGTCATCATGTTTTCAATACCTGGGACATAAAATTATTTTAAATTTGGATTGAAAAGAACTTGTTTTTAAATTCCTAGTTTTTTGCCTGCACTTTTCATAAGATTTATGTATTGGAACATTCCACAACTTTTTAACGATTAAAAACAACGGTAGTGTTTTAATGGTGGTTACCATTAAAACACTACCGTTGAGACCTTTCATAGTGACCTATTGAATTCGCGTTTTATTAGTACATGTTTCTAAAAGATATTTGCGATAACAGCAACACTATTCATGCCGTGGAAGTATCATGAATGGCACAGAAAGAAAGTGACAATGACAATATTGAATACAAGTAGGGATACGCAAAATTTTAAAAGTATCGATATTTTGCTGGAGTCCAGTATCGTATCAAAAGCATCGAGACCAAAAAAGTTTCAGAACAAAAGTATCGATACCTGAAGGTATAGAGTATTTTTTAATACATTTATAAAAAAACCTGAACGGAGTGTTGTTTGTGTTGCTTGTGGGCTAAGTTTCGTAAGAAAAACCACTCTCCGTTCCTAATTGTTTTCAGTATTTTAAAAACAAATTTTACACGATGTACCACTTTTATATTTTAAATACTTTTAACATATTAAAGTGGTACATTGTGTAAAATTTCGCATGTTTCTCTCGGCGGCGGCATCTTTTTGAGATTGATTTAACTTTAAATACAAGTACGAGTAATTTATTAAAATAATTTTTCAGAGTAAGATGAGACGAAAGCGAAAGAATAAGGCCACTGGAATAAGGTTTCATAAATCCACACCACAATTCTTTCCTTTTTCTCAAGTCAATAATTTTTAGAAACTTTTAGAAAGTATCAATACTTCAAAACTATCGTAACAAAAGTATCGATTCCAAAAGTACGTGGTATCAGAACAAAAGTATCGATACTTTTTGCGTATCCCTAAATACAAGAATAGTATGAAACAAAACATGTCATTACGCTGTATGCAATGCAACAAATTTAATTAATACAATTTCCTCCAATATTTAGATGTTTGATTGCATCACAGATTTCAGACCGCAAAAGTGCAAATTAAATCAACTCAACACGTTCTTTGTTATTATATAAATTACTTTACTTGAAGATATAACTGTTGCAAAGCTAATAGCAAGTATCTAATTAGGAACTGCGAAGGCCTTCATGAGCTTACAGTTGGAAGAAGTCAACGAAACGCAACAACTCATGCAGAATGAAGAAGAAGATGATCAAAAAATATCTCATGCAGCGACATCTCCTGTTGCAAGTAACAAATTATCCAGCGGAGCTGCTAGTCTTACTTCAAAGAACCAAGGACAAACTATTTCAGGCGCTGGCAATAACAGTATAAATGAATCTACAAAAATATCTTATGTTAGTGAAAGGCGCCTGCACAGAGATTTAATGCGTTCCAATAATAAACCAAAAAACATACCTAAAGGAACACCTGATGTAAAAAATATGGAAAAGGCGCTATTAGAATTACTTGATGATTTTCACACAGGCAAACTAAGTGCTTTTGGTACAGGTTGTAGTATGGATCAAATGATAAACATAAGGGACCAACAAGAGCATTTGGCAAGATTACACTTTCGTCTTTGTGCAGATGTTGAGAAACCTGACAAAACCGATGATAACTTTGAAAATTCTGCATCTAGGGACAAAATGGCACAGCTGGTCCAAAGTTTAGCACAACTATCAGCTTCTATAGAGCATTTGCACTCTGATGTTAACAGCACTAATGTGAATGTTAACAGCACAAATGTGAATGTTAACAGCACCAATGAGAATGTTAACTGTACCAATGTGAATGGCCAAACACAAGCCACCTCAGACAATATCCAATAGCAGATAACCTTTTTTAATTATGTTTTAGAAACATTATATATACATAGTCATTAAAACATATGTAATATTAGTTTTGATAGGAAGATTAGACACATAAGTAAGAAAACTGTTGTTTTATTTGCAATTATAAAATTTAATTTTTAAGTTTCATACAATACAATTACTCCTGTTCTTAAGTTATAATCAAGTGAATAATGGTAAAAACTATGAATATTCTCAAGTCACTGCTCAATTTTGTTGTTGTAACTCAAATACATTCCAATATGTCACACGGTACCATCTGCCCTCCCACCAGGAGTGCCCCAGGGGCTTATAACAGGGGACAAGCGCGGTGGAGGTTTCTCTACACTTCATACAATGCCTGCCACCATGATCAAAGCCTTCAGGACTTCACCCTGAGCTAAATTATTGTATCTAAACCTACTTATTGTAAAGTGACTTGACTATATAATTTCTCTCCACCATTTAGTCACTGGATGGTCCACATGTTAGCACACAAGGCTGATACCCTGACCATGTTACAATTATATTAGTCCTGTGCTTATTACACCTGTGAGGTATGATTAGTTAGTATTGCTTATTTTCATAATTATTATCAATGGAATTGTGTATGAATAACTGTGATTAACCTTTGTAATGGGTGATGAAAAATTACTGCTTTGACCATGAGTTAATTACAAAATATTCATTAAAATTCATTTCTAGACATGTCAATACCATTGAAAAGTTGAATTGACATAACTAGGTATAATCATATTACAAATATAAAAAAAATATTTGTCTCAATAATTGTTGTCAAAGGAAAACAGTCAATTTAATTGACACATTAAACAAATATTAAACATATTTTTAATTGCAGTACATTTTAAGATTAAATAGCTCTAACCTAATTCTCTATACTAAGTTTGAATAAAACTGGAATATTCTTTGCCCCTTAACATACATTAGGGCACTATTAATAATGTACATATGCACATATACCAAAGTTTAGAAAACATTACTTAGTATAAACTGGCAAACATTTCTACTGTTACCATTACCTAAATAATTATTACATGTAAAATGTAGGTATATTATGTATCTATATAACTCAAAACCAAACAATGTAGCAGCTAAATATATCTGTAGAATGATGGACCATGGGCTTTTTTTTTTAGATGAGGCTCTATCTTCTATACTGTATTAGACAGATACTTCATCTTTGAGGATATATGGATATATACAACACACATGTATAGTATAGTAAACTATCTTATGCCTGCTGCTTCAGTAACCTAAGTTTTTTTCTGTCCCTTTATATTAAGTGACGCCAGATGTGTGGTCACTGCTGTCTCATTCAGACAATATATAAATAAATGCAAATAAAAATACTGTATAAATTTATGATTTGTGTTAAGAACCTACTCCATGTTTTCATCACATAAAAGTACATATTTTTGACAGAGTTGATAACAAAAACACACAAACAAATTGACAATGCCATGAGTATTTGAACTGACAAACATCCACTTATCATATTATTAGGTATATTATTTGGTGATGCACATAACAAAACTATACCTATAATGGTTGTTTTCTTAACAATGTAGAAAGGATATAAGTTTATTCTACGACTAGAACTCAAAAGATTAATGGTTTCATATCAAATTAAATCATTATTGTTTAAACCTAAAGTATCAATAATATATATTAATTTAATATACATATAAATAGTAACTTATAAAAATAATTTGTGATATCCATTGCATTTGAGCATTTTCCTGCAAGTGGGACATCTTTTATTAGTTTTTACAGCTCTTTGTAAACAGCTCATACAGAACACATGACCACAAATTGTTGAACCAATTCCCTTACCTGATAATTTCTCCATACAAATTGGACAATCACCCAATGAGTGGATTGAGTTTGAATGACACTCAACTGCATCACCAGATGTTGAGGGGTGGTCTTTACTCACACTTGTATTTTGTGCATTCATTCTCATTTTTTGTGCACAACTTCGTTTAGCGATGGATGCCACGGATGCATTATATTGGACCCTTAATGACGATGTAGGATATTGGGTTCTATCTAATGATGATGATGTAGGATATTGGGTTCCATCTGATAATGATGATGTAGGATATTGGGTTCTATCTGAAGATGACGATGTAGAATATTGGGTTCTATCTGATGATGATGTAGGATGTTGGGTTTTATCTGATGATGATGTAGGATATTGGGTTCTATCTGATGATGATGATGTAGGTAATCTGTGTCTGTGTACACTTTGTTGTCCTCCTGGCGAGTTTCGCTTTGCCATCAAAGGTGATGCTGTTATGATGGGATATGGACTAAATAACTCACTAGGACTTAAAACATGCGAATCATGTATCCTTTGTATTGCTGTCAAATTTCTATAATATTCTTCACCCATTCTTATATTCTTGACACTGATAGAATCATTTATTTGGCGTTCAGTACTAGGTTGACTGTGGATATTTGAATCATTTCTAGTGTTATCAATTCTAATGTGCTCTAAATTATGGTCATTGCTAGGTTGTCCCTGCATATTTATAGATATAGTAACTTGTTCAGGTGTTTCATTAAGTTGAGGCTTGAAATTATTTCTGGTATGCCTTTGATTATTTCTATTTTCTTCAATACTTGAGAGATCTACATCAATTAATAGATTTAATGGCTTTGTGGCATTATATTTATTAAATATTGATTGATTGTGAGCAATTAAAGAATCAACATCAATAATTTCGTTATGTACTTGTTCTGTAGAATTGCTACTGCGTTCAGTTTCAGTATTTATGACTTCAATATCAATAATGTTGGGTTCTCTTATTGAGTTATTAATTGTATTTATAGAAGACTCAACAATTATGCAATCATCATCATCTTCACAAGAATCTTGCCGATTGCTTGTTTCTACAGCTTCAGTAGAAGTAATTTGATTTGTAGTGTCAATAATTTGAATGTTATCATTGATCTCCGTTTTTACATTTGTTGCAGGATGTTCCATCGGTTCATCTTCAATAACAATGGTAGCAATATGAGTTTTTGGTATTTGTTGTTTTAGGAGTTGGTCTTTTGCAAGATTATTGTTATTTTCAAGAACCTGATTATATTGTGAAGTACTAGGAATGGGAGAGAAAGCCTCTAATGTGCATGTACTTTGCAATTTGTTAGAGCTGTTGTTAATTACAGCATCATGTATTAATTTCTCTGTTTTTCCTTCAGGTTCAACAGATATCATGGAATGTTTTGTTTTATTTTGGCATAATATATTTTCTACTGTGACACTGTTAGTATTTTTTTCCTTTCTTGGACTAATATTCACTGATGGTAGATCATCAGAATCATCAGATTGTTCGTGGGATTTAATCCTCTTTCTTGAAGGGGATGTTATTTCAATATTGCTGTGAATACTAGAGGATGATTTTTTGAATTTTACTTTAACCTGTTCTTCTATTCTGTTACTCTGAGTAGGTGACAGTAATACATCAGTGACCATAACTTTTGGTATCATTAGTGTTTCTGTTATATTTGATGATATTTGTGCACTGCATTTAGGTGCTGGCTGCTGATTCGCATCAGTTGATTTATGGTCTTCCACATCGTCGTCAGAATCTTCAAACATTTTCTCAAGATCGGCTAAGGATGGCATAGGTTTTGCATTAGGAAAAAATCTATAGGTACTTGTAGTTTTTCGCTTAAGACGTCTTGTTCTAGAACTGGATCTTTTCTGCATCAATTGCTTGGACATTAAAATGTTCTCATTATGATCAGGTTTCATTATTTTTCCCTTTTTCGGCTGGTTTTCTTGCTGATCAGACGCATTTTTAAACCAACTTTTCTGTTTTGATTCTGTCTGTTTACTATTTTTATTGTTGTTCACCATGGTTATGTTTTTTTAAAAATCAAAGTAGTAATTTTCTATGGAATATTTTTTTCAGATTTAAAATCAGCACGACAAAAATGATTACACGACACTGGACGATACAATCAAAATTTTAAGCAGAAATCGATGATACTATAGAGCCGTGTCACAAATTTTAAACATTGCTGTGGTCTCGAAAAGTCGAAAACGGCGTAGAGTTGCCCACTAATATCAGTAGATTCGCAACTAAAAACTGAAGTTTAAAATAAAAACTAGATTGCAGAACCAGTTTACAAAACGTATTAAATAACTTGGTTAATTATTAGGATATATCAAAATATACAAAACAGGTCAGTACAACACACAACAACATCTTAAATTTGTAGCACATAATAAATCACAAATTTTAGACTCTAAATGAGAAAAAAATCTTAAAATATATTAATGGGATAGCTTGGGTACAAAAATAATAGTTTAAGTTTCTAAAAAAATGAATTAAATTCAAAGTGTTTAGTTTAATTAATTAATCTAAAAAATAATTAATCAAATTTAAATTCATTTTTTTTGACATAGTAGCTGACATGTTATTACGTCATACAGCTGTGTAAGCTAGAATTTATCAGTTGAATCTACAATTTGCCACATCGGCAATTTGGCAAATTGTGGATTTAATTGATAAATTGATTAAATGAATTGAATTTTGAAATTTATTTTGTTATTTTACAAACTAAAACTAATATTTTCTGACTGATTTTTGCCCAAGCTATCTCAATAATATATTTAACACTTTTTACACTAGCGTTGTTACTTTTAAGAACAGCACACCAACAATAATTAAAATAATAACTAATTTTTAAATAAAAAAATATCACGCAAAATGTCACTTCATTTGCTTACATAGCCGACTGACGTCATGACCACAGAGCAATATGGTGTCCACAGCACACAGCGTTTTCGTCAAATCGACAGTTTTTTTTTTGTTTTTGAGTGATTTATTAGTACTATAGAATCTAATGGAGTCATTTTCAAATATGAATGTACCAAACTATTATGTTTCTTAATATCTTCTTTCTCTGATGTAATAATAATATTCGTGTGCAATAGTCATAATATTTGTGCCTTTAGAGCTTTCTTGCAACCTGCCAGAAAGTTATTCGTTCTGTTCTTTCCTATAAAACTGTTAGTAGTTAACTGTTAACACTGGTATTTAAGCATATATCTTCATCAGACGACATTCTGAGTACCTACGTTTACTTACGTAGTTTTATCCTTTTTTTCAAACGTAATGAACCATATACATAATTAGGAGTAATACTAGTAATACTAATAGTAATTAGGAAAAAATAGTAATTAGGCTAAATATTTGGACCGAATATTTTTATTTGTAATCTTTATCGCTAATAAAACATACCTATTTATAATATAAATTCTTTTGGAAATTTATGATAGTTTAATAGTGAAAGGGGATTGTTTGATTGATTGGGGTGAACTTAGTATCGCCACAAAGAGCTTTGTGTCAAGATAAAAATCAGGGCCGCCACTAGCTGTTTGAGCGCCCGCTGTAGATATCGATGAAGCCGCCCTTTTTTTCCAGTGGAGGGCCACTGGACAACTGGTGGGGTGGTTATGGATTTTATTAGTTCTTTTTATCTTTAATTCAATGAGTTAATCCTCTGGTCTGAGGAGAGGCTCTCGGCCTCCGGTACCGAGGTTACCGAGGTTACCTCACTCGATTAAAGGAAAAAAAAATACTTAACTCGGTTTTCTGTGAGGCCGCCGTATCGCTCCGGTCAAGCCGGCTCATTTGCGCCGAAGCATGGCTCTCCCACGGAAGACTGTTTCTTCTGTGATGGTGATCGAGCCGATCGGAGATCTTTTGGCTATCAACGGTTCGAGTCACTCCTCGTTGGATGCGGTCCAGAGGGAGAAGCTGGTATTGGGGTGCCTCTAAATAGAGTTGAGAGCAGTCTTCCATATACCGCCGGAATTGCGCCTTGTAGAGCTGAAGGCGGTGGGCCGGAGTGAATTACTGCCTCTATCTCTGTAGCACACCGAGCTTTTTTGACCTTACCCTTTCCTTTGGTCCCTGTTGTGACCCTGAAATTGGCCTTCGCTCGATATGTCTGGCTGAGGCAGTTAGGGAGGTACTCTCAAACCGAGGTCATACGACAAACGGTATCATTTTTTTGGCCATGGTACGGAGCGAGAGCACTTCCACGGTATCGCAGACTTCAGAGGGCTCAGGCGCCAAAGGAGAAGCAGGACGGGTTAGCAGCGCGACGCGCTGTGGAGCGCGCACGCCATCTAGAGAGCAGAAAGGGGACACCATGGTTCCCACACACGATAGGGTCATCTACAAGCCGTAGATAGCCCGGGGTCCATCGGAGTACCAGGGATTTCCTTCCTAAGGTACACCTAGTTTCCCGGCTACTGATACCCGAGACGGCGCGGCATGCAGTTTTTGGTCGATTTGAACTCGACATAATTATCGGTGGTTGGTATCCGAGGGGATTTTTGCACAGATAAAAACAAGGAGTCTGGCGTTAATGGTCACTGTCCAAATCTGAAAGCTGAAATTTTTAAGCTATCTTCCATAAAGTTAACCCAACGGGAGGCGCGCCCTTATTTAGGACAGAAACAGTCGCTACTGGGTAAAAAATACCACATTTGACGAATGCAATAATTAAAATATAGGTATAGTAATTAGTGAATATAAATTAAAATAAGATAAATATATTACATCACATCATATACATAATTTAAAACCTAACCTATGTATGTTATGTATTTTCTCGTCTTCTCATTTTATATCTATCTAATACCTTTAAACTTAGCAATTCTTGTATATACATACAATCTGGATATCGAAAACGGCTCCAACAATTTTCATGAAATTTAATATGTTTCGGGGACGATTAATTGATCTGGTTAGGTTTCAATTTTAGAAAATTTACCAATAATAAAAAATACCGATCAAAGCTAGGTCATCCACGTACAATGATCTTAGATAACTAAATGCTAGTATTTTTTTCTTATATCTATGAACTTAGTGTCAAAAATAGCTTTAAACTTGGTAATAATATTTAATTATGATCAATCACAAAATAAAATAATATTGTCTCACTTTACCATAAAAATATACAACATAACATAACAACTACTTATAAAATTGACTAATTGAAGATTCTATTAAATTTTGGCACTTTAGTTTTAGGCAATTGAGAATCACTTTATTTATTTTTATTATACTTGTTAATTTTTATTACTTTTTTGATTACATTTCTCACAAACAGGTATGGTAAGTTCGCGACATATCATTTTAAGGCGAAACGTAAAGTTTTCTGACATATTTCAATGAGCATACTGAGTTACAGGGCGAACTTATGTTGGCTCTTGATAGCCCGAATGGACGTGGTTGATCACTATGATCTTCCTCATCATCACTAAGCACCAATGATATTTTCATTTTTATATAAGTCAGTAAATTAGTTGTAGTAGCTGTTTTCCTTATTTGTGGAGTTATGAGGTATAATACTAATACTTTCAACACCAAGGAATCATCAAAGAATTACTAATTCCTCGGTGGCTCTATTTTGTCGTTCAGCATTAGCTTTTGTAATCACATAATCATTAATGCCTCCAATATTCAATATATCATAGAAAATAAGCAGGGGCTAGCGTCTTATGAGATGAGGAATAAGTGCCACATAACTCATCCACAAAGTCGACTTCATATTTAATTTTGTTCCTATTATGTATTGTTGTTCTGTTTCTGAGACTTCTTCTTTTTCACTATCGTCATATTGAATATGCATATAAGGCTATAAATTTTTTAGTACATGTCACAACAGTCGCTGCTGGGTAAAAATAGCCATACTTGACTTTATATATATGTAGCATCCGAAGGCGTGGCACCAACTGCAGTGCAAGCGAGGAGCATGCTCCATATTATCTCCTGGAAAGGTACTAAGAAAGACAGCATCATCCAGTTAATGGCAAAAAGGTTATAACGTAATTTCGTGTGTCGGCGCTACCGGGTAAAAAGTACCACAGACACACAAACAAACGCTGGGTTAAAAATAATGTAAACGGCAACATAAAGCTAAATTAGAAAAAAAAGGTCCAGTTCATATTTAGATCTGCCATCGTACAAAATAAAGAAGGAAAATAGAAGCAAGAGAAAACAAGGAAGGCCTAGATTAACGCACATACAGCAAGTAAACGAGAAAGTGGTAGTCGTGGCCTATTTTATACAATGTATATAGAAATACATAAGTAGGTATGTGCATTAGCAGTCGGTGTTAAATTTATTATTATAATTCCATCTGTCTTAGGCTTCCTCATGCACTGAACAGTACAAGAACCATACCCATACAGTTTTTATGTATCGTTTTCACAAAACGATTAACTTTTTTGCACATATTGCTTAATTTTTTTACCTTTTTGCGCTTCTTCTAAGTATATAAATACTTAAAGTATGATATATTTAAAATATGATATGATTAATTATGTTTAAGAAGGGGTACGGATATTAATATATAGATATACAGCACTTACACAACTTAATTTATGAATAGTTTGTCAAAGAAAGTAATAAATTGTAATCAAATTATATGAAACACAATAATTGACAACGGTTTTTGTCTAGACGCGGTATTTTTTAACCTTGGGTGATGTTGTCATTCAAAATGAGCAATGATATCTGAAAAAAAATGGTCTCCAACAGCGGCGGAATGGCTTGTGCTTAGTCACTTCGAAGTGGATTTATACTACTTATATGTATACTCGTACCTATTAAGACTAATATTGTAATATTTTTGGATTGCAGTTAACTTATGTACGTGTTGTTGGATTCAACTCTCTCTGATTATAAAAGTTATTCAGATTTAGAAACGAAATGTTCTTTGATAAATAATTTAAAAAAATGAAAAAGCTGTAAGTAAGTACTTTTAAAGAATTATAAATCGGCGATAAAAGTTCTAATATGACACTTGAATTATGTCAGAAGCTTACTTTACACA